TACGGGCGAGATACTCTGGGTAGCCTGCTGGGCTCTCCGAGAGGGGAGGAAGAATCGAACTCGGGTCGGTGGTGTTGGCTGCGTGCAAGGCAAACACCCTACCCGTTGTGCTATCGCTCCAGCCCCAGCACCAAGAAAATAAAATTAAATAGAAAAATAGTGGGATAGGGACTACTGCCTTGACAGTGAGAGATCTTGGTGGCAACGCTGCTCCTAGCACTCAGGAGGGCCCAACACAGGCGCTCAACCCACCAGGTGGCGCTGCTGGTCGGAGCTGGGGCGCTGCCTGCAAGGCGGGTTTGAGCGGAAGGGATGCCTCCTGCAGGGACGTTTTGATGGCATCATGCAGTTTCTTTTCAGCCGACCCCGTTCCCTCGGTGCTCCCATTCATACCGCCTGCCACCACCAGCGTACAGGCTCCCCGGTCCCTCCTACTCCCTGGAAAGCTTGTCACAGGCGCAGGCGCGCTTGGGGGGACTAAGAACCAGCAGCCCCTGGGACTATCCCACACCTGTGCAGGTGTGATTCAGGACCGCAGGGCCCAGGATGCTGCGGCGCCGAAGACGGAACAGGAGAGCAGTGGACGCAAGCCACGTCCCCACGCAGGCACCCTGGCCTCCCCGCCCCCCAGGACAACTGTCCAGAGCCCTGGCTTCCGCCAACCCGAGTCGGAGTGACCACAAAGCCGCCAATGCACAGTGGCAAGGAGACAGGCTTGGGGAGGAAGCCCGAGCATCCCCACGGCCCACCCCGCCTCCAAGTAGCCACCACGGGCTCGGCACATCTTGGACCAAGAAAGAGCACGGTCCGGTACGGAAGGAGCAACCAAGCAAGGCGCGAGGCCGGCTTCTGGGAGCTGAGAACGGCCGGGAACGGCCAGAAGCGGCCAGCGCGGGTCAGGCTTTCCGAGACCCTCAGGGAGGAATGCAGGGGGCTGGAGCGATAGCACCTCGGGGAGGGCGTTTGCCTTGCACGTGGCAACCCGGGTGCAATCCCAGGCATCCCATTTGGTCCCCCAAGCACCGCCAGGAGGAATTCCTGAGTGCAAAGCCAGGTGTAACCCCTGAGCATCGCTGGGTGTGACCCAAAAAGCAAATAAATAAATTAAAAAAAAAGTTTCTCTGGACTTCTAAAAATAAAAAAGGAATGCAACCCAGCAGATGCTTCTACCCCAACGAGATCCGAGGGTTTTTTTTTTAATTTTTCCACCGGTGGTGCTGAGAAGCCAGTCCTTGGCTTTGGGGCTCCGGGATGCGACCCACGGTCACGGCCACGGCCACAGCTGGCCAGCAAACGAACCGAAGAGCGAGGAGCGCCCGGCCGCGCGCAGGAGCGCTCTGCGCCTGCGCCGGAACCTCCGCTCCCAGGATTCCGCGCGGCCCAGCCGCTTCCGGCCCGCGAAGTCCGGGGCGAGAGGGGGGCGGGCCACGAAGCGCGGCGGGAAGTGAGTCCTGGAACCACCTCCCCCCCACGACGAGGGAGTCTGTCTGGAAGGCACCGTGCCCGGCGCCGGCACCGGGGAAGAGCCGGTCCTGGAGGCTCCCGGGAAGCGGAGTCGGCGGCGCGGTGTGGCGCGCCTGTGCGCATGACCGGAAGTGCCGCCGCGGGCGCCCGTCTGCCCCCCCCCCGCCCGGGGCCGCCACGTGACCGGCGTGGGGCTGCGCCCCCGGGAGGGCGCGGGACGATCCGGGAGCCGGGGATCCGCTCTTTCTGCACAAGGAGCCCCGGGGTCGGGGCAGAGCGGCACCGCGCGCGGGTGGCACAGGCTAAGGCGGTTTCCTTACCCGCAGCTGACCCCATCTAGAGTCCAGGGGGTCCCCGGGAAGACGCTGTGTGCGCCCCCTCCCTCCCCAGCACTGATCCGGGGAGGCCCCGATCCCCGCCAGGAGTGACCCCCCCCTCGCATAATCCACACACACACCCAGTCCTTGTCCGTTGCCCTTCTCAGTTTGGTGATCGACCTGTCTCCCGAGATCAGCTGGCCTGGTTTAGCCGTGATGACTTTTTTGTTGTTGTTCCATAGGATCCTCAAATACAAACCTTGTGTCTCTTCTCCGCCCTTGCAGTTTTTGGATTGTGGGAGGCAGCAACTGCTGGGGGCTCTGCTTAGGCGCGCTCCAGGATGACCTGACCCCTTCCGGTCTGCCACGCGTGGGTCCAAGATTAATTGCGGTTTTTGATCTTCTTAAGATTTATGGGTCTCTGAAGTTAAGGCCAATAAATGGACTTATAAAGCTGAGCCAGAGGTGGCCCCACATACTAACTTTTGGCTAATTTTTTGGTAAGTTTGGTCCCAAGTTGTTGGGACCTGGCCAAAGGCACAGCAGCAATTTTAGGATATGAGGATGTACTGAAGGCACCATTAGGTGGATGCACTGGCCCTACAGATACAGGTTGGCCTGCTGGCGGCACCATACCCCATAGCGGAGCCTTTTAACCTGAGCCCACAGCCCCGAGATGGAGCTTCAGAAACGGAATGTGGTGTTGGTGGCTCAGCAGCTATGTTCTGAAAATGGGCTTCCTCAGTCTCTGAGAGGCTTCAGGTCTAAAAGGGTTATCACTGCCTATTCTTCCAAAGCAAACTGTTGTTTCGCGCTAGTCCTGGCAGTTTTTTTTTTGGCCACACCCGGCATTGCACAGCGGTTACTTACGCACTCAGGAATTACTCCTGGTGGTGCTCGGGGGACCATATGGGATGCTGGGAATCGAACCTGGGTCAGCTGCATGCCAGTGCAAACGCCCTTCTCGCTGTGCTATCACTCCAGACCCTAGTCCTCCAGTTCTCATGCTACTCCAACCCAGTGTAACAGGCGGTGCACGAGTTTTTGCAAAAGCAAGGTGGGTGCTGTAGCCCCTATACTATCCCTTATTATACCCTGATGAGCAGCAGATCAGATCATTCAAAACTACCCCAGAGAATTGTGGGCCCACCAAGTAGCTTATAATGCCACAGTGCTTGGCAGGGGCTGGAGAGTCTGAAGGGATTGCCTCTGCAGGGAGGTCAGGGCCCTTTGCAGTTAGGGAATCAAGCTTAAAGGTGCTCCTGGCGCTTGGTGGGGTCATGCTGACCTAAGCTTGAATACTGATGTGGGTGCAAGGAGCAGCTCCCCACCTGGCATCAGACTTCAGTTTCAGGAAGCTCTTTTCCCCCAGCAGAACTTACAAACTGCTTTTTATCCCCAATTTTTTTTTTTTGCTTTTTGAGTCACACCTGGCAATGCACAGGGGTTACTCCTGGCGGTGCTCAGGAGACCATATGGGATGCTGGGAATCAAACCTGGGTTGGCCATGTGCAAGGCAAATGCCCTACCCACTGTGCTATCTCTCCTGCCCCACAAACTGCTTTTTGAGTGCTTCTCAGGCCCAGAGCTTTTGAGTCACCTCCTTAAGACCCATTCCAGACCCCAGGTGTGGCCTGCTCCTGTTCACAAAGCAGGAGCAAGATCCCTGCCCAGGCTGGCACCATTCCATGCACCTCCCAAGGGGGTTGGTGGGGCAACTGACAAGGATCCAGAGTCAAGCTGGTTGACCCAAAAAGCCCCCAGAATTTCTTACTCATTTTTCTTTTTATGTAGGAGTACTGCTATTTATTCAGCCACAGATTACTCATCTTTCTTACGCAGCGTATGCACACACAGGAAGGGACACACCTGGTGGAGCTCCAAGTTTACTCCTGGCCCTACACTAAGGGAACACTTTTAGGAGGGTAGGGGGCCCAAAAGTCAGCCGCCTGCAAAGCATCTTTACCCATTGTACTATCTCTGCCCTCCAATACATATTCATGTAAAATATTCCCCCCCTTTATTCTAAATCTGGAGATCCTTAACCATCTGCCATGCTGTCAAAACTGGGTGGGCTATGTTTAACCCCTTCCCCCAAAATTCCCACCTAGTTGGCCTTGTTTTGTGCTGACACCCTAATAGCAGTCTTACCCCATCCTTAAAATTCGCAATCCCCTGGGTGGGTGAATGGGAGGCATCTGGCTTTTGATTGCTTGGTGCGCTTGGGGACTTCTCTTTCCTCCAGCAATTCTCCGACCTTGTTTACAACTGGCTCTACTAGAGCCCCGACAGAAGGCTGTGTCTGGGCAACACAGAGCTTGTGCTGCCCAGCTGCTTTAAGGACTAATGCGAAACTTTGAGCTAGTCCCACAGGAGACCAAGGCAGATCCAGATCACCTATGTCCCATCCGTCAGGTTCTGCCACTGACCCCAGTAACAATAAAAGGCCATCTTCCCCAAAGAAATCACATGCAAAGGTTCGTTCTTCTGCAAATACTTTATTGAAGCATTTCTTGTGGTTCTTTAACTCTGGAAAAGAGAAACCCTCGTCAGTGAAAAGGCAGACCATCTCTCCTATCCCCCACCACCTACTCCTAGATACCCTGCAGGAAAGCAGGTTTCCCACCCAACAGGAACAGTGCCCCACTTACCGCTGGGCACTCCACCACGCCGCTGTTGATGTCATCGATGATGTCATGAGGGTGGCGGCCATCAACATTGCAGCCCACAGACTGTGCTGTGCCCAGAATCTCCTTAATGGTGCCTGTAATCAAGAAGCACATGCTGGGAACTGTCCCATTTCTCTCTAGAGCCCAGGCAACAAAGGAAACCCTTTCAAAGACCACCAACACTCTCCTCAGTCCCAAACTCGTTCCCTTATGTGCACTCTATGCAATCTTCCTTGGTCTTAACCTACAGACCAGGCCAGTTCAATGTTCCTCCTCTCATCTCAGCCCAGGGTCAAACTTGGCAGATGGTACCCAATTATGGCCCATTCTGTGAGCTCCTTACATGGGGAGAGGAGCACACACCCCCATCAATGAGTGGGGCCATGCAGGACTCTTACCGGAGAGCTCTCTGGCTAATGACCGGTGTCTCATCTGGCGGGCAATGTTGACGATCTCATCGAAAGTGATATTGCCGCTGTGTTTAACTGGGAAAGGAAACAGCAGTTTGCCCCAAGCCATGACCAGAACAGACCCCAGAGCACCCGGTTTTGGCTGTTCCCATGCCTTCGGCACAGAGTCATCCACATGGAGAACAACCCTGTTTCCTAAGCTGGGGTTTAGTCTCAGCTCACCACTGGATTGCACAAGCCAATATAGTGACAGGCGCAGTGGCGGGTGGCTGGGGCACTCTGCAAACATTGGACACTCCAGGACCCGAGAACGTATTAAGTGGCCGCGCCAGCTAAGGAAGTGGCCAGCAGAGCCCTGTGCCCCCCAACCCATACGGCCCCACAAAAGACCCAACAGCTGCTGGTCACTGGGAAGACACTCACTGTTTTTCTGCTTCTTTCTGTCTCGTGGTGGTTCCTTGAGGGCTTTGATGATGAGGGCTGAGGCTGAAGGCACCACCTCAATCTGCGGGAAATTCTCAAGTTAGTGAGCACAATGGCGCCCCCCCCAGCTGGGCCCCGCACTCACTTTCCAAACTGCAAACGAAACAAATGCCTCCCGCCAAGTACCTGGGCCTGCCGGTTCTGGATGGTCAGCTTCACTGTGATCCTCAAGCCCTTCCAATCTCCAGTGGCCTTGGCAATGTCGTCCCCGACTTTTTTAGGAGACTGTGGAGATAAAGATGTGGGATCACACGGTGTCCAGGGCGCCAACACCCCAGAACCTCCCGATCGGCACACAGGAAGTCGCCCCCTACACGTGTCCATGCCCGCACCCCCTAGACTGGTACCCGGGGCCACCCCTGCACACCTACGACTGATCACTGTAAAAGTGAGAGAAGACTGCCCCCTCCCCAGGCCCGACAGCTGCGCCCAGACCCGCGGAGACTTACCAGACCCAGGGGCCCGATCTTGGGGGCCAAGGCGGACGTGGCCCCGACTTCCCCACCGGTGCATCTCAGATAGACTGCAGGAAAAGCAGCATTAGAGCCTCGGCGCGGAGATCCCCCCAGTGAACCAGACTCCACCTCGGCCACGCCTTCGGAGCAACGGCGCTCCGCGGGAGACTGGGCAGGACCCCCACGCGCCCCGCTCCGATGCCCGAGCGGGGCAGAAGCCCTGGGGGCGCCGGCCCACCCCGGGCGGGGGGCAACAGCGCCGGGCAGCCCAGCGTGGGGACAAGCCTTACCCTAAAGCATCCGCGGCAAGGCCGCCCCGGGTGGTCCGGTCCTCCCTCCCCATTTACACGCGGGGAGGAAGGCAGAGGCCAAAAAGTGCAGCGAGACTTTCCGCGGGCGCCCGCTGCGGGCCCGGAAGGCCGCCCGGAGGCCAAGGCGGTCCAAGGCCGCCGCGTGCCACGCCGCCCCCGCGACTTGCCGCGGGCCCGCCGGGCTGCGGGGCAGCGGGGAGGCTCCATCCCGCGGGCCCGCCACTGCCAGAGCACGCACCGACTTTGACTTCGTTGGGGTCGAACTTCGGCGGCATGGCGGAGGCGGTCGGTGTCGGATGAACCCGGATTCGGGACGACCGAAGGAAGTTGCACCTTGCCCACCTCCGAGCCGAAAGGCCGGAAGAGCGGCCGACCGCCCCGGATATAGGCGGGAAGGGAGCGGGTCTCGCGAGAACGGCCGTGGCTCCGCCCCCGCCCTCCCAGCGACGCCCTCGCCGCCATGTTTCTTGCTGGCAGGCTCCCGCGGCCGAAGGCTGGCATGCCCCCCGGCTGGTGAGCGGTGCCTGGAGGGGCCGGGAGCGGGGGTCGGGGCAGCCGGCCGGAGGAAGCCCACCCGACAGGGCCTCCCCCAGCCTCCCGACCTGCCTCCGAGTCTCCTCACCGCGAGGGTCTCTCCCCCCCCCCCGTGGGCGGCGCCCCGCCCCAGCGCCCCGCCCCGCCCCGCCCCGCCCCTGAGGGGTCCGCGCCCCCCTCCCGGCGCAGGTGTCCAGCCCGCGGGGAGCGGTTCGGGTCTCGGACCAGTTCCTGCCCGAACCGAGCCCAGTCATCCGAGGCTCTGCGCTTCGCCGGCGTCCCGAGGAGCTCCGCCTGGGTCCATGACCGAGCCCAGGTGACCGGCCGGCCTTCGGGTCCCGCTGCCCATCCACAGAGCCAGGTGGGGCCCCCTCCCCCTCCCGGCCCGGGGAGGATGGGTGTGGCTCCCCCCTAAAAAACAAACAAACAAATCCGAGAGACTCGGGAGCCGGGATGGATGTCTGGGAACCGCTGCGGAAACGCTGATGAGGGCAGGGGGGTCCTTGGGCGAGATGCTTGGGGGGTCAAGGCAAGATGCAAGATGCAAGGAGGGGTGGGCGCCGGCGGGGTTCGGACCTGTCCCCGTCCCTGCCGGCAGGTGGGGTGACTGACTAAGGGGTCTGAGCCATGACTGGAGGGGTCTGAGCCAGCCGCCGCTGCAGACCCACCGCACGGGCACGGGCAGGGGCAGACCTGTGATCCCGCGCCGTCCCCAGCAGTGGGTGTCTGTGTCATCACCCACCTGATGCTGTCAGAGCCCCCGAGTGACGTTTGTTTGCCAGCCGTGCGGTGCTCTATTCTCTGGGCAGGTCCCGAGCCCAGAGAATCCCCGAGTCCTCTATGCCCAGGTGTGGTAGTGTAGCATTTGCACAGGGGAGGAAACTGAGGCAGAGCGAGACTGAGCAGCCAGGAGCCAGTTACCCTCAGGCACAGCTCGGAGGCTGACGTCATCGGGGTACCAGGGTGTGGCACCGTCCACAGGATCAGAAGACCTCCTGGAGGCGGCACTGTAGACGGGTTTCTGCTGCATTCAGCTGCAGCTCTCAGTGTTGTGACCACCGGATCGGTGAAAACTCCAGGGTCACTTTCATCCACATCAACAGAACTTTGATGTGGGGAGAAGCAAACAGGTTAATAGTGAGAGTCGGGGTGCCCGAGGATTGCTCTGGATTCTTCCCTAACTCAGATCGCTTGGGCTACGGTGTCGGGGGACCCCACCCTCACCCTGGGTCGTGGCTGGGTGTCATCTGCTGAGCCTGCTCTGGTCTGAGGACTCAGAGAGGTCTCCAGGTCACGCACCCCCATCTAGCATGGAGGAGAGTTACGAAAGGGGGTGGCGTCAGGCTGTCACAGTGGGTCTGTTGCCGTGAGGGTGTACCTGTGGTGATGTCCTTCACCTGCACACCACTGCTTCCTGCTCAGTCAGCAAGGAGCAAAGTGCGTTGATCCCTACTATTGTGGGGCTCAGGACCCCAGTGATGGCCACGGGGCCCCTGTCCCTGCCTTCAGGGGACCAGCTGCCCTGAGACCCCGGGGGCCCTGACTGTCCTCTGCCCTGGGGTCCAGAGACGCGCCCGGACCAGCAGGATGCCTCTCTTCTTCCGCAAGCGGAAGCCCAGCGAGGAGGCACGGAAACGCCTGGAATACCAGATGTGTCTGGTGAGGGACCCCATTGCGCTCCCTCCCCTCTGCCTCCCCGCGCACCCCCACAGGGAATCCAGATGCTCAGGGTACGCTCTGGCCCGGGGGCTCGTCACCTTGTCGGTGCCTGGTCCTTCTCCCTTCCCTGCTGGACCTCAAGTCCTGAGAAAGCAGGGACACTTGGCCACCGCCCTAGCGACCAGATATGACATAGGCTCCTGCACCCCTTAGCGCTTTGCTGTATCTGTGCCTGTTTGTCCGCTCTGCAAAGATTCTCGAACACTTTTCTCTTCTTTCATCATTTTATCCTCAGGCCAAAGAAGCGGGGGCCGATGACATTCTCGACATCTCCAAGTGTGAGCTCTCGGAGGTAAACTGAGCCAGAGATGGAGTGGGTGTTCCTCCTGGCCTTTCCTGGGGCCAGAGGCCACCAGACCACGTCCCAGTGCTGGGGTGTGAGGGGTGCTCCGTGCTGGGAAGCAGACCAGGGCCTCACCATGCACTCTGTCCTTGGCCTCTTTCTTTCCCGAGAGAATTGTCATGGTCTTTTAGAAAGCTCCCGACCGGGTCTCTGAGAGTCAGCATAGAAAATGTGCCCAGAGATTCCGGGGACGCTGGGAAAGTCAGGAGCTCCCAGCCCCTGCAGAGCAACTGTCTGTCTCTTGCTAGGGGACTCCTGGGGCATCGGAAGGGTGGGTGCCTGGTGCCTCTCCCCCAGGCTCAGAGTTGCTCTTGCGACAGCCCCCCACCCCCTTAAAAGCCCCAGCCCAGTGGAGGGAGCCACTGACCATGCTCTGTCTCATCCTAGATTCCATTTGGAGCCTTTGCGACATGCAAGGTTCTGCAGAAGAAGGTGAGCTGGGGGCTGCGTGTTCCGAGGCGGGTGTGTTGCTTGTCTGCCCGTAGCCAATATGGGACAGCTTCTGGGCACTGTGACCCCTGGTCGGAGGCACCCCCTGCCCTCTGGTCTTCACCCTTTCAGTCCGCAGATTAGGAGAGTAGGTTTCACTTCATACTGCCTGCAGGATTTTTTCCAGCCTCTGTTAGTCTCATCCTATCATTAAATATGGTCCAAGTTCCCCTCCCACCTAGGTAAGTCTCATCCAGTCATTGAAGAAGACTGAGTTCCCCTCCCACCGAAGTTAGTCTCATCCAATCATTGATGAAGACAGTCCAAGTTCTCCTCCCACTGAGGTTTGTCGCATCCAATCATTGAAGACAGAGTTCTCCCACCAAGATTTTGTAAAAAAAAAAAAATGAATGGACAGGGAGGTGGACACATAGATGCTCTGAGTATGATCCCTGCTGTCCAGAGAAGCTGAGTAACCTCTGTTCAGAATGACAAAACAGCTCTCCAAGCCTTGCCCAGGGTCATCCCTGGACACAGAGCCAGGATTAATCTCTGAGTACCGCTAGGTGTGGCCCAGAATTCTGCACCCCCTCCCCCAAAAAAAAGAATGAACTGCATGAGTTTGCAGCTTCAAATGCAGATTGGAGTATGCTAAATGGATTCTCTAAATGAGAGGTTCCACAGATTTACATGACCCTTTTCAAAAGCAAACATTACATGCCCAAAATCCACCTTCCTTACGTAAACCAACAGAGGCACCCTACCCCGATTGCACCCAAAGGGGCTGGAGCAATAGCACAGCAGGTAGGGCGTTTGCCTTGCATGCAGCCAACCCGGGTTTGATTCCCAGCATCCCATAGGGTCCCCTGAGCACCGCCAGGAGTAATTCCTGAGCGCAGAGCCAGGAGTAACCCCTGTGCATTGCCAGGTGTGACCCAAAAAGCCGACTGCACCCAAAGCTACTGCTACCATCCCTGGCTTGCTCTAGCACCCTGAGGAGGGGCCGTTGCCCACTCTGGGAAAAACAGATCTAAATCCAGTAGAAAAGCAGCAGTTGTGCGTTTCCCGACTGGACCCAACCAGGCAACATCCGGCCTCATACAAAACAACAGGCATGGCCAGCCCTGGACTGAGAGCTTTTGGTCAGAGCGTGGGAATCCTGGGAGGATGGGCATCAGTTCTGGAACCCCCAGCCCTTCAGGCCCTCAGGTCTCCTGAGCACTGGGGTGTGCCTGAGCGGGTAGCGGAAGGACAGTGGACAAGGCTGGCCAGGCGCCGCGCTCAGCATCCCACCTGCTGCCCTTCAGACTCACTGTCCCGGGTGAACCTTCTCCACACAGGTGCTGATTGTCCACACGAATCACCTCAGCGCTCTGCTCCCGAAATCCTGCAGCCTCCTGAGCCTCGTAACCATCAAGGTACGACCCAAGGGCTCCCCAGCCCCCAGCCCCCTCACGTCTCTGTGCCCGTAGGTGCCAAGTGGCCAAATATAGCATGTCGGACTTGGTTTCTTGTTGCCCTCTGCGTGCAGTAGGAAGTGGGGATCTCCACAAGAACCAACCACAGACCCTGCCCGAGGGGAACAGGGGAGGTCACACAGCAGAGGAATTATCAGAGGCTCATGGGCCCAGACCAGAAGGAACAAGGTCACACCAGCCCCTCGTGATCTGAAGGACCTCCCAGCCCAGCTCCCCAAGAACAGACAGGAGCTGTTCTCGTATTATATCCGAGGTGGGACCCAGAGTATCCCCTTGAACCTGAGCTGGGAGAAGAGATTGGCAGCAAATGGTACCCCCAAGGGAGGGGGTAGTTTTTGTCTCTTTGGTTGTGTTTTGGGAGGAGGGGGTTGTTGTTGTTGTTTTGGGGTCAAACTTGGCAGTTCTCAGGGTCTACTCCTGGCTTGGTGCTCAGGGATCACTCCTGGTGGGCTTGGGGGACCATGTGGTGCCCTGGACTGAATCCAGTTCAGCCACGTGCAAGGCAAGCCCCTTACCCCACTATATTATCACTCCAGATCCAGGATTTTTTTTTTTAATGTGAAACTGTGGAGGGCGAAAGACTCAGGGGCTGGAGCATAGGCTTTGCTTGCTGGAGACCTGGGTTTGATCCTTGGCACCAGGTGATCCCACCAGCACCACTGGAAGCTAGCCTTGAGCACTGAGCAGGGAGCAACCCCTGAGTTCCATCAGGTGTGGCCCCAGATCCAATAGAGAGTGAAGAGTCATTATGTTTGTTTGTTTTGGGCCACCCCTAGAGATACTCAGGGCTTACTCCTGGCTCAGGAGTTCAGGGAATCACTGGTTCAGGGAATCACTCCTGGCCATGCTCGGGAGACCATATGGGATGCCAGGGTTCGAACCCAGGTCAGCCATATGCAAGGCAAATGCCCTCCCCACTGTACTATCACCCCGACTCCTGCAAAGTGGATAGTCTTAGTAATTCTTTAGATCCAATTGTTTCATTATCAAGTTTTTCTTCACACTCCCCCTTCTTTTGTTTTGTTTTGTTTTGTTTTGATTTGGGGCTCCACCTAGCGGTGCTCAGGGGATTGAACCATGCAGTGCCGGGATTGGGACTGGACCCTTGGCTTCCACATTCACTCCCGCCTTTGGGACCATCTCCCAACCCCATCCCCGCCTTCTTGACTCCCTCCCCCAGCCCCCCAGGTAACTTTGGTTGTTGTTATTAGTGTCTGCCGACCTTTCTTTTCTTCCTCCTGTCTGTTCTTCAGTTTGATATCCTTATTTGCACTCGGAGGCAAACTCCAGTTCTGCCTTTTCCTTCTGACTGACTTCGCTTCACACGGCTCCCTCAGACTCCTCCCATTTTCCTGTGAATGGCAAAATGCTCCTCTTTGCTCTAGCTGAAGAGCCTTCCAGCGGGTGTTATACCTTGCGGTATTTGTCCAGGATCTGCCAACGGGCACTTCCGTGGCTTCCATAGCTCAGCTATTATAAGTAACACTGAAGCTATTATAAGTAACATTGGGATGTTAGTAACTGTTTATGTCGGTGTTTTAATATTCTTTGGATAGAGGCCCAAATGTGGGGTGTCAGAATAATAGGATACCTCTATCCTTTTTATTTCATTTAAAAAAAAATTTGGGGGGAGACCACATGCAGTGGTGCTAATGTCTTCCTCTTGTGCACTCACAGATCATTCCTGGGGGGCCTGGGGAACCATTTGGAGTACCGGGGATCGAACCTAGATTGACCAGGTGCAAAGCAAGCACCTTACCCGCTCTATTATCTTTTATTTATTTTTTTTGGAGGGGACATATGTGGTTCTGCCCTCAGGGATCACTCCTGGAGGAACTCAGGACCATATAGGGTGCTGGGGATTGAACCTGGGACAGCCCTATGCAAGGCAAGTGCCCTAACTGCTATACTGTCTCTCCGGCCCCTCTGCTATGCTACTTTTCCAGCTCCAAGATAGCTCTATCTTTATTTGCCCTGAATCCCAAACTCCATATGATACCTCAGGCCTACCAAGAGTGATCCCTGAGCACAGAGCAATACCAGGTGTGACCCCAAACAAACAAAAAAGATAGCTCTATCTTTAGCTTCAGGAAATTCTATAATGTTTTTTTCAAAATGGATAAATCAGTATATATTCCCAACATGCTTTGTTTTTGTACTCAGAAAAATTACATTAACTAGTACATCAGAGGGATGGAGTGATAGCACAGCGGTAGGGCGTTTGCCTTGTGTGCAGCCAGCTGGCTGAGCCAGGTTCGATTCCTCTGCCCCTCTCAGATAGCCTGGCAAGCTACCGAGAGTATTCAGTATGCCAGACACAGTAACAAGAAGTCTCACAATGGAGACGTTACTGGGCCCGCTCGAGCAAATCGACGATCAACGGGAGGACAGTACATCAGAAAGATAGTACAGGGGTCAAGACACTTGCCTTCAAATACATGGTCCTCCAGACATTGTCCAGGGTCACTCCTGGCCACAGAGGCAGGAATTCCCCTGAGCACCACAAGGTGTGACCCACAAATGTACTTTTGCTTTGGGGACCATACCTGGTTGCTTTTAGATCTGTGCTCAGTGGTCACTCCCTGTGGAATTTGGGATCATGTGGTGCTTAGGATACAAAGCAGGAACCTTATTCAGTGAGCTATCTCTCTGGCCTTAAGATATATTTTTATACTTTGAAATTCATATGAATAGGGGCTGGAGAGATAGCACAGCGGGTAGGGTGTTCGCCTTGCACACGGCCGACCCGCGTTCGATTCCCAGCATCCCATATGGTCCCCTGAGCACCGCCAGGAGTGACTCCTGAGTGCAGAGCCAGGAGTGACCCCCTGTGCATCGCTGGGTGTGACCCAAAAAGCAAAAAATATATAATAAAATAAATAAAGCGTGCAAGGCAAATGCTTTTAAAAAAATTCATATGAATTTACATATATGTTGAACTAGCTCTTTGGCCCTAAGATATATTTTTAAACTTTGAAATCCATATGAATCTATATATATATATATATATATATATATATATATATGTGCACCCTATGCATCTTTTTGGCTTGCTGTTGTTAGCTAAAGTACTAGCAAACACAGTTAAGCAAAATAAAGCCTGCTCCTGAGAAGCATTGTCAGTGTATATCATCTGGGGCCAGAGCCATAATACAGCGGTACAGAGCGATAGTACTTGCCAACTCTGGTTCGATCTCTAACACCCCATTTGGTTCCCCCTCCCTTCCAGGAGTAATTCCTGAGCACAGAGCCAGGAGTCAGCCCTGAGAACTGGACGTGACCCAAAAACATGTACATAGATTTGATAGTCTGTACGAACATTTATACTATGTGGAATGTTTCTTTTGAGAACCTGCATTATCTATATGTCCTGTTTTTTGTTGTTGTTGTTGTTTTTTGTTTGTTTTTGTTTTTTTGCTTTTTGGGTCACACCCAGTGACGCTCAGGGATTACTCCCAGCTCTGCTGCACTCAGGAATTACTCCTGGCAGTGCTTAGGGGACCATATGGGATGCTGGGATTCGAACTCGGGTCAGCCGCGTGCAAGGCAAACGCCCTACCCGCTGTGCTATTGCTCCAACCCCTACATGTCCTGTTTTAAAACTGACGATTTTACTCCACTGTACAAATAGCTTTTTGAGAAGTACAAGGATGAAATGATATAGTCATTTGGAAAAGGAAGTAAGATGGAGTGATCCATTGCCTGCTAAAGGGGGTGAACCAGTGTGGCAGGGTCGAGCCTCGGGAGCCTGAGACCCCAGGCTGGGCAAGAGTGGGTGAGTGGCAGTGGCTAAACTTGTCTTTCCCCCAGGTCCTGGACCTTCATGACAACCAGCTGACAGTCCTTCCTGAAGATCTAGGGCAGCTGACGGCCCTCCAGGTAGACCTGGGGAAATAAAGTCCCCTCCGCTGTCCCAGTGGGACACCATTGCCCCAGTTCTCTCCTCATGGATGGACTGAGGAATTAGCTGGTTTCAGGAGAGGACCCTGAAATCCAGAGGGGTGACTGTGGTTGCTGGCACCACTTAAGGTCACAGTGGACACTTCGTTAAGATCTTTGGGGACGTGGGGCTGGAGCAATAGCACAGTGGGTAGGGTGTTTGCCTTGCACGTGGCTGACCTGAGTTCGATTCCCAGCAACTCATATGGTCCCCTGAGCACCGCCAGGGGTAATTCCTGAGTGCAGAGCCAGGAGTAACCCCTGTGCATCGCCGGGTGTGACTGAAAAAGCAAAATAAAGAAATAAAATTAAATTAAAAAAATTCTGGGGACACTCTCATATACATATATGTGTGTATATATTTATATAAAAGTATAGGTATATAAGAAGTATATGCATATAAAAATATATTCATTTTTATTCACACATATGTGTGTGTGTGTGTGTGTGAATACCCAGCAGTGCTCAGGGCTTGATCCTAGCTCTGCACTCAGGGATCACTCCAGCTTGGGGGACTCTTTGGGGTGCTGAGAGTCAAAACTGGGTTAGCCATGTACAAGGCTAACTCCTTACCCCTATTAGCTCTCTAGACGGGTTAGAGAGATCGTACAGTGACAGAATGTTGGGTTTTTGTTTTTCATTTTTTGACTTGTGTGTCATTTTAGGGGCCACACCTGGCAGTCCTCTGCCCAGTGGTGCTCAGGATGCTGTGTGGGGCTGGGGGTGGACACAGGGCCTTGCACGTGCTGGGCATATGAGCCCCTGAGCCCCAGCCCCAGCCCTTCCCCTTGAATATTTTCACAGAGCTGCTGTTTTCACTGTTTTGGTCTCTTGCTTACTGGACTATTGGCCCATAATGATCCTTTGGCTCACCAATTATTTCTCTTTCCCATTACTCTTATGGTTGCTTGGCTTCCTGTCATGTCTGGTTTTTATTTTTATTTTTTTTTGGTTTGGGGGCCACCCCCAGTGGTGCTCAGGGCTAGCTCCTGGCTCTGCACTCAGGGATCGTCCTTGGCAGGGCTTGCGGGACCCTCTGCAGTGCCCAGGGTTGAACTTGAGTTGGTCGCCTGCACCTGGCCCATTGTTCCGGCTCTCCCATTTTTTTTTTTTGGCTTTTTGGGTCACGCCCGGCGATGCACAGGGGTTACTCCTGGCTCTGAACTCAGGAGTTACTCCTGGCGGTGCTCAGGTTACCATATGGGATGCTGGGAATCGAACCCGAGTCAGCTATGTGCAAGGCAAATGCCCTACCCACTGTGCTATTGCCCCAGCCCCGGAACATTTGACTCTTTCATTTTTTTTTCTTTTTTTTTCTTTTTGGGTCACACCCGGCGATGCTCAGGGGTTACTCTGGCTCGTGCACTCAGGAATTACTCCTGGCGATGCTCAGGGGACCATATGGGATGCTGGGAATTGAACCCGGGTTGACCGCGTGCAAGGCAGACGCCCTCCCCGCTGTGCTATCGCTCCAGTCCCCCCCCCCCCCCCGCCATGTTTGTTTTTAACGGCCCCTGTGCACGTCCTGCAGCCCTGTGTGCTGGCTGGTCACAGCACTGTGTGTGGCCTTTGAGTGCCTTCACTTCGGTTCCCATTCCAGCACCTTTTCCTTTCATGCAGCTTGACTTCCTCCTCTAAATCTCCATGCCTAGAACATGCTCCTGCCTCACCGGACACACGCAGGACCTCAGTGTCCCCCTCTCCCACCCTTCCTGACCGTTTTCGGAAGTGCTCAGTGCTCAGTGCTCCATGCAGTGGTGGGCCCTCAGGAGACCTGCCCCCGTGCTCTCACTTGGCCCTCCCGGCCACTTGAAGTCACCACCCCCAGCCTTTGCCCCTCTTTCCCTGCTTGTCCCCAGATCTTGCCAGGAGGAGAGAAAGGGTCATGTGGCCCCTAACAGTGGTGTCTGTGGGGGTCTCATGTCATCTCGCCACTTTCTCAGGTCTTAAACGTGGAAAGGAACCAACTGACGTCACTCCCACGCTCCACTGGGCGCCTGGCCCAGCTCCAGACGCTCAATGTGAAAGGTAGGAGTCCGGCTGCACGACCTGGGTCCGCTCTGGGCTGTGCCAGCTGGCAGCCACAGAGCCCAACTGCGTGTGAAGTTTGGGCACGAGGGCAGCTGTCGCCAAGGTGTCATTTGCAAATGGGACAGTCGGGCCTCCGAGACACAGAGAGAACTTGCTTCAGGTCTCAAAGTGCGACAGAGACCAGGCCGAGACTCAGGGCCCCCCCAGAGTCCCTGTGCCCCGACCCCTCTCATCTAAGCTGTCCTATGCAGAGACCCCCGCCGTGGCCCGCGTGTTGTTCGCGGCTGCACTTCCACGGAGGCCCATAGGCGGCTGGTTCTCCCCCACCAGGCAGCCGGGTGGGGACCTCAGCGCTGGGTGGGTGAGTGGGGGGGTGGGAGCTTGAGCCCCCTCACTAGAACATCGGGCTCTCCCAGACCCCTGCGGGTGGCCAGAGCAAAGCACCCCCACGCCGCGTCCTGTGGGGGCCAGGCAGGGAGCTGGCTGAGGGCCCGGGTGTTGAGTGGCGCCCTTGGCATGTCCACAGGCAACAAGCTTCAGGAGCTGCCCGACACCCTGGGGGAGCTTCGCAGCCTTCGGACCCTGGATGTCAGCGAGAACCCGCTGCAGAGGCTGCCGCAGGTGCTGGCACACGTCCGTACCCTGGAGGTGAGCAGGCGCCAACCCGGCCACTGTCACCATCACCCAAAAATCTCGTTTCCTCTGAGCCATTGAGAGCTGGGCCCGGGAGGGTGGGGCAATCGCTCTAGAGCAACGGTTCCTCGGAGAGCTCGGGGTGGCCACGGGAGTGGACCAGGCAGGAGGGTCCCACGATTCAAGGCCCAGAGCTTGAATCCGGTAGCCTCCCTGCCCTCAGTGTGGTGCTCGGCACCGAGGGTCTGATGCAGGTGAGATTGGGCTGAGGGAGGGCAGGGAACGCTTCCGGTGTGCTGGGCACTTCCAGAATGCTGGACTGAGGGAGGACAGGGAACACTTCCTGGGTGACAGGCTTAGGGCAGGCAAGCACGTCCTGAGACTGGTAGATTGCCAGTCTCTACCACCAGGATCCCCAGCGGTGCCCAGCACCGGCAAACCCTTTGCTGACGTCACTGGGCCGGGGAGTGCAGTCACGTCTGCCTGGAGGCCTCTCCTGGTGCCACGAGACTCCTCCCCATGCGTCCACAGAGTCCTCCCTCCACGCGGTAAGATTCATTTCATCATTTGAGAGAGAAAAAAAACAACAACACCTCTCGGAGATTCATGGGACAGGGGAGACAGTGAGACAGTGGGCTTAGCCACCATGCCGGGGGTGTTCTTGTGTCACGGCCGGTAGTGAGGGTCCCTGTGTGCCTGGCAGACCCTGAGCCTCGACGCCGCGAGCATGGTCTACCCGCCGCCGGAGGTGTGCAGTGCTGGCACCGCGGCTGTCCAGCAGTTCCTCTGCAAAGGTAAAGTGGAGAGGAACTTGACCTCTAACCTCGCCCTCCCACCACCCCCTCACCTCCCCCCCACCCCACCATGAGCACCTCAGGTCCTGACCCCAACCTGCCCCTCCTGGCCATGCCATGCTGGGGACTGAGACAGATGGCCCACAGCGTCGGCTGCTCTGGGTATCGGGAGAAAGAGGCAGCTGGGGCCTTGGGGACACCCCCTGTGGCTCCGACTCTGGGTCTGCAAATGCAGCTCAGCCCAGAGATGTCTGAGGGATGACCGGGGAGAGAGGAGGATGCACCGGACAGAGGCGGGTACAAGAAGGGCCCGAGACCAGGGCCAGGAAGCCTGATGAAGAGAGGCTGAATGCACGGGAGTTCCTGGTTAGACCAGGACGTGCCAGGAAGTGCCTAGATGTGCCAGGGAGACCCCCGCGAGAGCCTGGTGCGCCAGAGTCCCAGAGCAGAAGGAAGAGAGACCGATGAGGTGGAGGGAGTGCGGGCCAGCTCTGGGGAGCCATTTGATCACAGCTGCTTCTTACGAGGACCCTGAGCTGAGGACAGGAGAAAGGACTATAGTAGTGACCTTGGGTGGGCGTCACTGAGAGTCCCTGCACTTCAGCGGGGTGGGGTATGGGAGGGCAGGAGCAGAAGGCTTGGGGTGCCGGGAGGGAGACCAGTGGCATCGCCTCTCAGGCCCCGCCGTCTTCTTGCGAGCTCCTCATCACCGCAGGGACTTCAGCAGGAGCCTCGTGATGTGTGAGGGGGTGACCTGACTAGCACAGGTGTCCACGAAGCGTCGGGGAAGGAGATGGAGGGTCTTTCTGGCAGGATCCGTGGGGGGAGGAAGGAGCGGGAGAGAACATCTGGGCATCATGAAGAGAAGCCTGATGGGATCTGCCAGGGGCACCCAGATGGCCCGAAGGACCTGGGAGACGCAAGTCCTTCAGTCTGGGGTGGCGGGAGGGAGACCAGAGGCATCGCCCCTCAGGCCCCGCCATCTTCTTGCGAGTCCCCAGCACCTCTAGGACCTCAGCACGAACCTCGACTCCAGGTGAGGCAGTTCAGTACCAGGAAGAGCGTGGAACATGCCACTGCCACAACTCGACTTCAGTGGCAGTTCAGTCAGCAAAGGGAGTTTGAGTCCAAACCCTCCCCCCTCACTACAGTGATGGCGGTGAAGCCTCCCGTTCCAGGAACCAAGCAGACACTGTGAGCCAGGAGCTCTCACGCCCGGCCGCTGGAGTGTCGACAAAGCCACTTTGGAGAAACCATCGTCAGTACTGGCCGCAGTGTCTGTGCTACGGTTTATTCTCAGGAGAAAGGCTGCAGCACCCTCTGCAGAGCCCAGACTGGAGGCGCCGCAGACGTCATCAGCAGTAGAGTGATCCGTAAAAGGTTTTAGACTCAGCCAGGTCCTGACACCAGAAAGGAGCACCCAGCCCGAGCCTCATGGGCCAGAGCACCCGGTGGCAGTGAGCTCTACCTGGAGATTGTCTGTGCGCATCTGAGTGTGCGCTGTACACTGGAAAGTCCGAGGGCAGAGACCACACAGAGGGTCAGTCACTCACCTTGCAAGCGGCCAGCCTGGGTTCTTTTTTATGTTTTTTCTGTATTGAATCACCGTGAGAACAGTTACAAAGCTTTCAGGTTTAAGTCAGAGTCATACAATGATCAAACACCCATCCCTTCACCAGTGCACATGTTCCACCACCAAGAACCCCAGAGTACCTCCCCCTGTCCCACACCTCCCCCTGCCTATGTCTACCTGGGTTCTATCTCTGGCACCTCACAGGGTCCCCTGAACTGCCAGAGTCACCCCTGAGCACTGAGCCAAGAGTCATCCCTGAGCACTGAGCCAGGAGTCATCCCTGAGCACAGCCAAGTATGGGGAAGGAAGGAAGGCCAGCAGGACAAAAGGGAGGGAGGGGACTGAAAAATCATCACTGTCCCGCTTCATCTGACAGCTGGACACGCCGTAGCACTGTAGCACTGTCCTCCCGTTGTTCATCGATTTGCTCGAGCGGGGCCAGTAACGTCTCCATCGTGAGACTTGCTGTTACTGTATTTGGCATATTGAATACATCATGGGTAGCTTGCCAGGCTCTGCCATGTGGGCGAGATACTCTCGGTAGCTTGCCGGGCTCTCCAAGAGGGACGGAGGAATCAAACTCAGGTTGGCCAGGTTGGCCACGCCGTACATCCATCAAATTAGTCTTGGGGCTTGCAGTGAATCCAGTGCACCACCTGGCCGAGATGAGGCTAGACCACACCCTTCGTTCTCCTCAAAACACTCCACCTTGAGGGGCTGGAGGTACAGTACAGTGAGGCGCCTCCCTTGTACGCGGCTGACTGGCTTCATTTACCTCGTACTCCCTATAGTCCCCCGTGCGTCACCAGGAGTGATTCCTGACCACAGAGCCAGGAGTAAGCCTGAGCATAGCTGATCGTGCCCCGAAACCATTCACTATTACTATCACTATCACCCCGTTGTTCATCTATCTGCTCAAGCAGGCCCAGTAACGTCTCCATTTGTCCCTGTCACGTGCTAGTGTAGCCTGATGGCATATTGGGGACTCTTTCAGGGTCAGGGGAATGAGGACCATCATTGTTACTGTTTTTGGCATATCACGTACGCCGCGGATAGCTTGCAAGGCTCTGCCGTGGGGGCAGGATACTCTTGGTAGCTTGCCGGGCTCTCCGAGAGGGATGGAGGCTTTTGTTTTTTTGTTTTGTTTTGTTTGTTTTTTTGCTTTTTGGGTCACACCCGGCGATGTTCAGGGGTTACTCCTGGCTTTGTACTCAGGAATCACTCCTGGTGGTGCTCAGGGGACCATATGGGATGCTGGGAATTGAACCTGGGTCAGCTACGTGCAAGGCAAACGCCCTACCCGCTCTGCTATTGCTCCAGCCCAGGATGGAGGCTTTTGGGGCAGCCTCTAATCACCTTTACAGGTGTTCCCAGTCAGGCATATATGCGGGAGTGATACTCTCAGTAGCCTGCCAAGTTCTCTGAGAGCAAGAACTAGAGAATAAGAGGTTATTCCTAAAACCATTAAAAAAAAAAAAAGGTGACTTAGGCTACATGTAAGTCTGCAAAAGACCTCAGGAAAGAAAGAGCAGGTAGAGCAGCTGCATAGCTTACCAGTAATCTCACTCCTGGCTCTGCACTCAGGAATCACTCCTGTGGTGCTCAGGGGACCCTGTGGGATGCCAGGGATCGAACCCAGGTCAGCCGTGTGCAAAGCAAGCACCATATCCAACTGGACTATCTCTCCGGCCCCCTGAATCTTTCCATTTCTGTTTAACGGGTCGGCCTGTATGTGTATGTGGGGGTTTTGGGTTTTTGACTCTTTTGGAAACCTAGAAAAGAAAACCCACAGAATATCTCCCGCAGTGTGACCCTGCACTCACTCCTCTCACACGAGTGGTCCTGGTGGGGGGCACCAGGATGTGCCTTGGGGGCAGAGCATGTTGTGTATGAGGCCCTGGGTTTGACCCCGGATGTCACACCAGCTGGTGCTGAAGAACACGACAGCTCTTGGCCTTCTCGTCACTCATCTCCCGTGGCTTTGTGTGTCATGGTGGGTGTGCGGTTCACAGGGAGCCCCTGACTGTGGTACCTTCCTGTGGACAGGAAGGCTGCGTCCGGAATCCCCCCGTCCGCAACTTTTACCCCAGGTGGCATGTCACTCTGGGGCCCCCTGTAGAGGTTCCCCTGGTTTACACATACTAAGAAGTACCTGGAAGGGCCTTTGTTGTTATTGTTGTTGTTGGAGACACTCCTGGTAGTGCTCGGGACCATACGGGGATCAAACCCATGTCAGCCATGTGCCAGGCAAACACCCTCCCCGCTGTACCATCTCTCCGGCCCCTGGAAGGTTCTTTCTTGCCCCTCTCCAGCTACCTTTGGCCTGGCTAATACTAATCGTTCTCTTAAAAGTCTGTCAACGTGGGGGCTGAAGATATGGGACACTGAGTAGGGTGCTTGCCTTGCACCCGGCCAAACCATGTTTATCCCCAGCACTACGTAGGGTCCCCAGAGCCCACCAGGAATGATCCCTGAGCACAGAGCCGGGACTCAGCTCTGAGCACTACTGGATTTGGCTCCCCAAAACAATAAACAGCCATGAAAAAGCCTGTTAGTCTGACAGACAAGTGAACCTATGAGAACTTGAATGTCATTTCCTGGGTTGTATGTGTATATATATATATATATATATATATATATATACATATTTGGGGAGGGAGCACATCTGGTGGTGCTCAGAGCTTACTCCTGGCTCTGTGCTCAGGGGTCACTCTTGGAGGGACTTGCGGGACCATATGGGTGCCAGGGATCAAACCCAAATCGGCTCTGTGCAAGGCAAGCGCCCTAACCACTGTACCACCGTTGTGGGCCCTGACTATCTTTTATGTATGTGCTATTCGAACTGTTTTAGTTTAGTCTTGTCTTGGGGCCACATCCACTGACACCCAGGAGCTCTTCTGTCTCTGTGCCCAGTGACCCCTGACTATGCTCAGGGGACCCTTATGTGGACCCTAAGATTTGAACCAAGGTCTGTGGAATGTGAGGCAAGCATTACTATTTCTTATGAATTGCCTATTAATGGGCTGGAGCGATATAGCACAGCGGTAGGGCGTTTGCCTTGTGCGCAGCCAGCCCAGCCGAGCCGGGTTCGATTCCTCCGCCCCTCTTGGAGAGCCCAGCAAGCTACCAAAGAGTATCTCGCCCGCACAGCAAAGCCTGGCAAGCTCCCCGTGACGTATTCGATATGCCAAACACAGTAACAACAAGTCTCATGATGGAGACGTTATTGGGCCTGCTCGAGCAAATTGATGAACAACGGGAGGACAGTGCTACTCTGCCTATTAATATTTTGGGTGGGGAGCAAACTGACTCCATAAAAGCCTACAACTTCTCTTCCTTGCAAAGAAACCAGCATCAAGGTGAAAAAGTTCCCACCTGGGAGAAGAAAATTGCGATGTCTCTGACCGATCCGAGGCTGCAAAGTGCAATACGTAAAGAGTGTCTCAGATCTGCCAGAAAAAGGCTGACGGTGGAGGGGGGACAGGGCCTGACCCCTTTCCCACTGCACAGGAGGAAGCTCTGCATGCTCAGAGAGGGCAGATGTCTTCCCTGAGGTCACACAGGAGCTTTGGGGTGATGGTGAGTCTTGGACCCTGGCTGTTCCATCAACCTCGGACTTTTCCGGCACCTCATTCCCACCCAGAGCATAGAGAGCCGGGGTGCGCCCCTTACTCACATTCCTGGGCATGGAAGGGCCCGTCTCTGGCAGAGCGGAGCAGGGACCTGTGTTGGGGACTGGATGCGGGGGACAGGAGCCTGGACTCCTCCGCACTCCTCAGGCAGCCGAGTCCGTCTCTTGCAGAGTCGGGGCTGGACTACTACCCTCCTTCCCAGTACTTGCTGCCTGTCCTGGAGCAGGATGGAGCCGAGAACTCCAGGGACTCTCCCGATGGGCCCATGGCTAGGTTCTCCCAGGAGGAGCTTGAGTGGCAGGTAAGGCGCTTTCCGCATGCTCCTGTGTGTGTGTGTGTGTATGTGTGTGTGTGTGTGTGTGTGTGTGTGCGCGCGCGCGCACACGCACACACATGCAAGCATGTGTACATGCCTGCCATTTGGTATGTGTGTGTATGTGCCTGCTGTGTGTGTACATGTGTACGCGTGTATGTGCCTGCCATGTGGTGTGTGTGTGTGTGTGTGTGTGTGTGTGTGTACGCGCGCGCGCGAGCCTGCTCAGCGCACCCCAGAGAAACACCCCAGCAGGACAGTCCTGGAGGAACAGTCACTACAGCCCCCGTGTGGTGGGGAGTCAGGGAGCCCCCTCAGTCATTTTGGGGAGAGTCCCCTCTCTGAAGGGGGAGTGGCTGGCCTGGTCACCTCTTCGTGGAACCATGAGGACACAGGCCGAGCATGCTTTCGTTGTCTCCTGCCCAAGGGGATGTCAGGGAGTGGGGTGGGGGTGGGGGGTTGGGGGGTCTAGAGTAAGCTTTGATGGGGGGTAATGGCAGTTTTGGGATTTTTTTGTTTTGTTTTGTTTTTGCTTTTTTGGGTCACATCCAGCGATGTTTAGGGGTTATTCCTGGCTCTGCACTCAGGAATCACTCCTGGCGGTGCTCGGGGGACCCTATGGGATGCCAGGGATCGAACCCGTGTCGGCTACATGCAGGGCAAATGCCCTCCCCACTGTACTATCACTCTGGCCCACAATGACAGTTTTGGGGGATGACAGCACCCCGCATCTGCCTAGAGCTCCCACAGTCCTCCCCCACTCTCTGTGACTCAACTCTCTCGTCCTCCCCACCCGGACCCCCATTCTGGGTAATATTGGGGCAGCCAGAGCGGGGAGATGGGGTCAGCGAGAGCCCACTCTGACCTCTGCCCTCTGCCCCCAGAACAGGCTCTCGGACTACGAGAAGAGGAAGGTGAGGTCCCGTCTTCCCGCGCGCTCTCCGAAAGACCTCACTCCTGCTAAAAGATTTGAGGAGATGAGCTCTAAGGGGGCCCTACTGGAGGGCCAGGGAACCCTTGTCCTCTCTGTCCTTGCGCGGCCGTGGCGGAGGGGGATGGGAAGGGTTCCTCCATCCAACGTCTAGAGGACAGTGGGGGGACCCCCACCACCACGGGCCGATCCCCACCGTGGCGGCGCTGCCCATCAGTGCTTGCTCTGCGGTGGGGCGGGGCGGGGCGGGTGTTTGGCAGGTGGGCAGCGGGGCGGGGCGGGGCCCTGCAGTCACCGGGGGTCTCCGATGCTCCAGGAGCAGAAGACGCTGGAGAAGCTGGAGTTCGAGCGGCGCCTGGACCTTGGGCAGCGCCAGTTCACCCGGCTTCTGCAGCAGAGCCACAGCCAGAAGGACGAGATCCTGCAGACGGTCAAGGAGGTGTGTGGGAGCGGCCGATTGCAGAGGCCGTGGTGGGGGAGGGGAGCCCGGCCCTGCGCCCCTCTCACCCCACCCCTGCTGCCCGCCCAGGAGCAGTCGCGGCTGGAGCAGGGCCTGAGCGAGCGCCAGCGCTACCTGGACGCGGAGCGGCAGCGGCTGCAGGAGCAGCTGAAGCAGGCGGAGCTCGACATCGCCGGCCGGATCCAGGCCCTCCTGCAGGAGAACCAGAGGTCAGGCTCCTGGGTCCTCCTCGGAGGGCCCCCGCTCCTTCCCAGACCCTTCCTCGGGGCCCCGGGCGCTGGCACCCGCTTACAGAGCCGCGATGGGCTCACACATGTCTCATTCAGCACCTCTTGGCTCTCTGCGGCCGGCCCAAGGGGCCGGGCGGCCAGTTGGAATGTCCTCCTGCTTTTGTGCTTTTGTGCTTTGGGCTCCTGTACCCACCTTCGCTGAGACCCACCAACGCCCTGGGTCCCCGTGGAGAGACTCAAGAAACAGCCTTGGGGCTGGAGTGATAACAGAGCAGGTAGGGCGTTTGCCTTGCCGCGGCCGACCCCGGTTCTATTCTCAGCATCCCATATGGTCCCCCGAGCACTGCCAGGAGTAATTCCTGAGCGCATGATGATCCAGGAGTAACCCCTGTGCATCGCTGGGTGTGACCCAAAAAGCAAAAAAAAAAAAAACAACAACAAAAAAGGAAACAGCCTTAACACCCCCGAGTTCCCCCCCAGGGCTTCCTCTGCTCCCCCAGTCACGTGCTCCCAGCTGTGTAGCAATGACAGTGACACAGAGGCCCCCCCTGTCTCTGCTGGGCACTTCTTGGCTGGGGGTCGGGTCAGCTTCCAAGCAAGCTCAGTCCACTCCCCGCGGTAAGAGGCATTGGGCCTCACGGTTCAGTGCTAGGACCCAGTGACACGGTGCTGCTTGGTGGCCACGCATGGCTGGGGGCTGCCTGGGGCCGCCCCCGTGGGCTCTCACCTGGGCCCTGCTGGGTATGGCCTTTGTCCCGGGCACTGGAGGTCCATTTCCCGTTCACTCCCCCACACACTTGGGCCAGTGATTCCCGTTTCCCAGGCGACATAAGACCAGGAGAGATGGGGAACTGGCCTGAGGGCAGGGTGCTCCCACACTGAGGGCTCAGAGACCCCCTGCAGGGTTAGTTAGTTCTGTTGGGATCCAGCCTGCTGGCATGCCCAGCACTTCAACCTTTTCCTCTTTTCTCCACAGGCAGAAGAAAAGCTCTGAGATTCTGAAGTCACTGGAGAATGAAAGGTGGGTCTAGTGCTTCCTCCAGGGGTACGTGGGATTGGGCCGGGAGGGAGAGACTGAGCGGGGAGGTTTGCCTGGAGGCCGTAGGGAGCTGGACCCCCCTCCCAGGACGTTGAACTAGGAAGAACCGCTGCATCAGGTTCATTCCAACCGAAACACGATCCTGGGTAAAATTCAGCAGCATCTGGCATTAGGGGAGGGCTGGGGAGAGCACTCCGAGGGCTGGGGAACCCCGGGTCCCATCTCCAAACACTGTCGGGACTGACCCCTGAGCACTGAGCTGGCCATAACCCCAGCTACCACCCCCCCCAGAACTCAGAAGAAAGAAAGAAATGAAAAATCACAGTTCCAGAGAAAGAAAGATCTGGTTGGTAAGTCAGCAGGGTGAGACAGAGGGTCATAGGCGAGAAGAAGGGTCACGCCCACTTCGGTCCCGCGTGGCTTTTCCTTGCCCCACTCCCTGCGGGTGTGTCCTTGTGACAGCCCTTAGGTAGAGAGGACAAGCACCAGGACAGACGCCACACACCTGCTGGCTCTCTGGGTCCCAGAAGAGCTGCCTCATCCTGAGAGACCTTCTGTCCCCAAGGGTCCCCTTTCTAGGCCCCAGCTTACTCGGCAGCTCCAGTGAAGGGTCAGTGTGGTTGGTGGCAATATGGGGTACGCCCTGGCCGAGCTCCCGGTGTGCTGGGCTGGACCTGGCCCCGAGTCCTGAGCGCCTCTTGGCGCTCACGCCAGACATGCTTCTCCAGATGGTCTGAGCTTCTTGTCCCATTCACTCATTGGGGCACACTGCAGGGTCGAGCCTGGGCACTAGTAGGAGTGGGCTGGCCACTCCATGATGACATCACAGTTGTCATCACCTCCTGCGGGACCAGCCACTGTCGAAACTATTCCAGTGACCCTGTCCTGCAGGTGCCCTCACGTAGACTTAACACGCAGGCACATAGCCAAGGGCCCCGACCCGCAGGACTAGTCAATGTGAATAACCGGGAGAGGGTGCGCAGGTGGGAAGAAAGAGAGACAGAAGAACGGGAGCAAGACAAGACTCTGCTCAAGCTCCAAATTTATTTCTCCCAAGCTAGCTTTTTATGATTGATTACATGAGGAAGTCGTCAAGATGGGGAATTAACAAAGCATGCAGCTTTTCAGTGAATCAGGGTGTAAGCCCAAACAGCGGGCTCCTGGCAGTTATCTTGGGCATAGCTCAGAAACTTACACAATGTATTTTAACATTTTTCCAAGAAGAAGGTAAAGATAAAGGTAAAGGCCCTCCCATTGTTCATCGATTTTATCGAGCAGGCCCAGTAACGTCTCCATTGGAGACTTTGTTGTTACTGTGTTTGGCATATGGCATACGTCACGGGGAGCTTGCCAGGCTCTGCCGTGCAGGCGAGATACTCTCCCTAGCTTGCCAGGCTCTCCGAGAGGGGCGGAGGAATCGAACTCGGGTCGGCCATGTTGGCTGCGTGCAAGGCAAACGCCCTACCGCTGTGCTATCGCTCTAGCCCTGTGCTATCGCTTCAGCAGCACATACACTAAAATTGGAACAATACAGAGAAGATTCCAAGAAGAAATTAGTTCCTAAATTGCATGTCAAGCTGTACTGACCTTTTGGCTCCCGGCAGCCAAGGAAGTGCTGGAAGGACGTTTCGATGGGGCTGCCCAGTTGTCGTTCCTGTGGCATCTCCGCATCCTGGCTATCTGTGAGGGGCCTGTTTCTCCAGCCCCTCTGGGCCAGGGGAAGGCTGCGCTTGCTTTAGTTATACCCGAGAGTTAAGGCTCTTTGCAGACACTGAAGGAGCACTTGCATCACTGAACTGCCTGCTTGCCTTTTGTGCCCGTTTGTCCCAGAGAGGTTCATCTATGTAAAAAGCTAACTGCAAAGCTGAGGGCACATCAGGGAGTACTTCCTGAAGGTGGCGGTGCCCATTGGCTGGACTTCCTTGTTGGCAGTGTTTGTTTTGTTTTGTTTTTGCTGAGTGAATAAGGGGCCTTTTTTTTTTTCTAGAATAAGAATGGAACAGCTGATGGCCATAACCCAGGAGGAGACAGAGAACCTGCGGCGACGGGAGATTGCCTGTGAGTCTGCGGGGCATGGCGGGCAGGATGGGGGTCGGGAGAGCAGAGTGCGGCTGTCGGGGGATGAGTGGGCAGCCCTGTCTGGCTGTCATGCCCACACCTGGCAGTGCTCAGGGCTTACTCCTGGTTCTGCACTCAGGGCTCACTGCTGGTGGGGCTCAGGGCATCATATGGGGTTCCAGAGGTAAAACCAGGGTTGACCACATGCAAGGCAGATGCCCTCTGCACTATCACTCATCATACTAGCACGGAGCGTTTCTCCCATGAGGGCAGGGAACTAATGGCGGGCTCATGGCTGTTTGGTTTTGTTTTGGGGCCACACCTGACTGTGATCAGAGGTTACTCCTGGCCCTGTGCTCAGGGACCCCTCCTGGCAGGCTCAGGGACCAAATGGGGTGTGGGAGATCCAACTTAGGTCAGTCGCACGCAAGGCAAACGCCCTCCATGTGGTGCTGCCTCCCTGGCGCCACTTTTTTTCCTTAAACGGGGGCACACCCAGTGGCATGTGAAGGTCCCCATGATGCCGGGTCTCAGAAGGGCCTCACATATGCTAATATGTGTTCCCATCAGTTTCCTGTCTGTAAAGTGGGACAATCAGTGGTCAGCTCCCTGAGAGGGTCCCCTGGCTGGCACCCAGGAAATTTCATCAAGTATCATCCTGGGCGATTCTGTTATCAGGGTTGGGGCGCTGTGTGTCAGAGAGCTCATCTTCCTGTCATTGCCTGGAGGCAGCCCTGGGACCCCCTGCTGCCCACACTATTAGGGGAGGCCAGGGAGCAGCTCCTTGTCCTACATCAGCTGCTGGTTGGTACTTCCAGGGCGGCATCAGAGCGGGGTAGTTGGTACCCTTCATCCTTGCACCCCGGGCATTGGTCTCCTGTGCCAGCCCAGTGAGCGCCCTGGAAACTGTGGGCCGGGTCCCTGGGATCCGTTGTTTGTGAAGGAGAACCGTACTAGTCCCCCAGGAGGAGGTCGTCCCGGTTGGCTGACAGGGTCTGTGGTCTGCGGTCTGGGGTCACGGACTATCGCTTTTGTATGTTCAGACTTCTCAAGTTGAAACTTGAGCGTGTCTTTTCCAAACAAGCCGAGTGGGGCCCAGCGCCGTCCTCCCCCCGGGCGCTTCCCCCCCGTCACTGAAAGGGGCAGGGTTTGTTTCAGAATGCCATTCTCAACGGGTGGTTTCTTCTCGATGAGTTTAGGAGCCACAAGGAGGCCAGTGGCACGTGTTCTTGGTCTGGTCAGGCCGGCACGGGCCTGGGCAAGTGCAGATTGAAAGGCCCAGACTGAGGTTTGGCCCACGTGTCCCTCCATTCCCATCTCAGACACACAGCGCCAGCATCGCCTGGCCCGTGACTTCGAAAGAGGTGTTGTTTTCACAGTGAAAGTCTGGAAGCTGGCTGGAGCGATTGGACAGCAAGGGAGAGCGTTTGCCTTGCATGAGGCTGACCGGGGTTTGATCACAAGCACCCCATAAGGTCCCCTGAGCACTGCTAGGAGTAATTGCTGAGCACTGAGCCAGGAGTAATTCCTGAGCACCACAGTTGTGGTTCCCCTGAACCAACCCCACCCTGAAAAAAATTATATTTATATATATATATATATATATATATATATATATATATGGTGCTGGGGATGGAACCTTGGCCATGTGCAAGGCAAGTGCCCTGCCCTCTGTACTAGCTCTCCAGCTCCTCATTTTATTTTATTTTATTTTATTTTTATTTTTATTTTTTGAGCCACTCCCTGGCAGTGCTCAAGGTTAATCCTCACTCTGCACTCAAAAGCTACTCCTGGTGATGCTTGGGGGACCATATGGGATCTCAGGGATCAACCCAGGTCAGCCCTGTCAAAGGCAAACACCCTACCTGCTATACTATAGCCCCAGCCGCTCATTTTATTTATTTATTTTCTTTTTGGATCACACCCAGCAATGCTCAGGGGTTATTCCTGGCTCTGCACTCAGGAATTATTCCTGGCGGTGCTTGGGTGACCATATGGGATGCCGGGGATCGAACCCAGGTCGGCCGCATGCAAGGCAAACGTCTTACCCACTGTGCTATCGCTCCAGACCCAATTTTATTTATTTTTTAAAATTTCTTTTTCTTGGGGCTGGAGAGATAGCACAGCGGGTAGGGTGTTTGCCTTGCACGCAGCCGACCCGGGTTCGATTCCCAGCATCCCATATGGTCCCCTGAGCACTGCCAGGAGTGACCCCTGAGTGCAGAGCCAGGAGTAAGCCCTGTGCATCGCCGGGTGTGACCTAATTTTCATAAAGTTGTTCACTTTATTTGATTACATTTAATATTCAAACACCAATCCCACCACCATTACAGTTTCAATCACCATATTTCCATCCCGAACCCCAAACCCTGCCCCGAAAGCAGAACCGAAATAATTTATTCTGTATTGCTGTTATGAACAAACCACTAAAAATGAGACCAAAAAAAAGGTTTCTTAGAAGAAAATGTGTGAAGATTGTCGTATTTCACCCAGAAGCCATCAAACCCTCCTATAAGAGATGAGTAATATGTTGTTAAAAGTTGAGCCTTGTTCATGTTATTTTTCAAAGATTGCAACTAGGCATTAACCAGTGATAATTGCAAATTGAGGCTTTTGCAGAATACTAATTCAAACCTAATGACGCCTCTGGCAGCAGGATCCAAGACTGTTGTCTGTTGAGTGTTTGTAGTCTGTCAGCCTTTCAAACTTTAAGTTACTTCTGTAACATATGAAAGGGATTGTTTAGAGGCTGAAGAGATGGTACAGCAGGTAAGGCACTTGCCTTGCACATAACCCACTCAGGTTTTATCACTGGCACCCAGAGGGTGGCCTGAGCTCCTTGCTGCATGTGGCCCAGAACCAAAAAGAAAAAAAGAGGAACCAGAGTGATAGTACAGCGGGAGGGCATTTGCCTTGCACGCAGCGGACCCGACTTCGATCCCTGGCATCCCATGTGTTCCCCCAAGCACCACCAGGAGTGATCTCTGAGCTCAAAGCCAGGAGTAAGCCCTGAGCATCACCGGATGTGGAATCCTGACCCAAAAGAAAAATCAGAAGTTGTTCAGAGGGTAGCCGTGTCGTGGGTGAGAGCCAGGAGAACACTGCCCTCTCAGCGTCCCCTCTCTCCTCAGCGGCCATGCAGCAGATGCTGACCGAGAGCTGTAAGAACCAGCTGGTCCAGATGGCCTATGAGTCCCAGAGGCAGAGCTTGGTGCAGCAGACCTGTTCCAGGTAAGGTAAGGAAGAGGCTTCCCGAGCCAGGGGCAGGGCTGGGGGCATGCAGGAAGACCCTGCCTGGTCCTGCACAGACTCTGCCGTGCCAGCAGGGGGCGCTGTGCTGGTCTGGCAAACTTCGCTGGAGGCCTGGAGAGTCTGGTCCCCAAGGACTGAGATCTTCGAAGGGGCGGGGGGAACACGAATACCCTGCAGTGTGCATCACCTGCATGATGCCACACACGGGCTCACTGATTCCACACACGGGCTCTGTGATTCCATACATGGGCTCTCACTACACACACAGGCTCTGTGATGCCACACATGAACTCTGTGATTTCACAGATGGACTTTGTGACTCCACACACAGACTCTGTGATTCCACACACAGGCTCTGTGATTCCACACACGGGTTCTGTGATTTCACACAAGGGCTCTGTGATTCCACACATGGGCCCTGTGATTCTACACACAAACTCTGTGATTGTACACATGGGCTCTCACGTCACACACAGGCTCTGTGATTCCACACACGGGCTCTGTGATTTCACACACGGACTCTGTGATTCCACGCATGGGCTCTCACTCCACACACAGGCTCTGTGATGCCACGCATGAACTCTGTGATTTCACAGACGGACTTTGTGACTCCACACACAGACTCTGTGACTCCACACACGGGCTCTGTGATTTCACACATGGGCTCTGTGATTCCACATATGGGCCCTGTGATTCCACACACGAACTCTGTGATTCCACGCATGGGCTCTCACTCCACACACAGGCTCTGTGATGCCACACATGAACTCTGTGATTTCACAGACGGACTTTGTGACTCCACACACAGACTCTGTGACTCCACACACGGGCTCTGTGATTTTACACACGGGCTCAGTGATTCCACACATGGGCTCTCACGCCACACACAGGCTCTGTGATGCCACACATGAACTCTGTGATTTCACAGACGGACTTTGTGACACCACACATGGGCTCTGTGATTCCCAACATGGATTCTGTGATTTTACACACGGGCTCAGTGATTCCACACATGGGCTCTAATCCCACACACGGGCTCTGTGATGCCATGCACGGGGCTCTGATTCCACAGGGGCTCTTTGATCCCAGCTGGTAGTGGGGTAAAGTGCAAGAGAGAGTATTGGGGGTCGCTGTCCCTCTGGTGGCTGCCGTGGGCCATGCTTCTGTGGCTTTGTCTGTGCAAGGAATCACATAGGACAGGCCAAGCCCCTGGCACAGGCTCCATCAAAACTCAGGAGCTCTGACTGTTGGGATCAGCCTCGGCTCCCCGTACCTTTCTCCTTCCGTCTGGGGGGCCCTGTCTCAGCTCTCAGTCTCGCCTCTGTCCCCCCAGGGGCAGCAAGTCCCCTTCCTTTCCTGGTGGTGTGGTCTTGGAGAGTGAGCGTAGGAACACAGGCTTAAATTGGGGTTCATTTCTGTTAGCCATGGTGAGGTCTGGGGCCTCTCTGAGCCTCAATTTTTCTCTCTCGAGGAAGCGGACAAGTGCCAGTGCCTGTCTGATTTCTGAGCAGAGTTTCAGGCGGACCCCAGAGGGCGTCAGGGAGTGAGGGCCCGTCTTTGCTCAGGAAACAAAAGTGGAACCAGGATGGAGCCACACTGCATGGAGCTTTGCCGTGTTGCTTATTCCCGGGGCCCAAGTTCCACAGTCCCTGGGCACAGGCCACGGGCGCAGAGCACAGTGCTGAGAAGGCCGGAACACAGGTGCAGAGGGTGGCAGCAGAGGCATCACGGGGTTCCAGTGCTGGGGGGACAGCAGGACCTGACACGGAGGGTCTCTCCCTGCTCCTGAGACGCAGAGACCCTGTCACATCCCTTCCAGGGCCCTCGGACTCGGATGGCGCCATCTGCCCTAGGACATGTCCCCCGAGTCCTGCTGAATGTTAGGGAACAGTTCCTCTTGTTCCGCTGGCGGTGCCTGACCGGCCCTGGCCGGTGTCCAGGGAGTCTCCAGGGAGGGAATGACCCTGTGTCTCTGGTAGCATGGCCGAAATGGACGAGCGGTTCCAACAGATTCTGTCGTGGCAGCAGATGGACCAGAACAAAGCGATCAGCCAGATCCTGCAAGAGGTGAGCCAGGCTAGGTGCCGGGGGCCTGCAAGACCCGGGGTGCTTGGTGAATTTGGGGGTGTCTGCACCCTGGGGCATGGTGGGTAGGAGAGGCCTGGTGGGGTGGGGATCTGGTTACTGGGGTCTGGAGATGTGCCACCATCCCCGTTAGGCACCCCCTTTCCTTGTGGGGGCCCATCATGAGGCATCGTTGGGCACGGGGGTGGTGACTGCACCACTACGTGAGCCCACAAGAGACCCTCGGCCTCCTCACACCCTCACTGTCGCTGCCGCTGACCTTCCCTCCCAGCAGTGCGGGCTGCTGGGAGACTGGGGTACAGGAGTGGGGAAAGAACCCGGTTCCTTCGCCTCATTGCCCCAGTTCCGTCTCCGTTCTCCCGGAAGTCCCTGTTCCTGCCTTGTTCCTCCTCCCTCCCCCCACCTCCCCGTGTGACCTGCTCCGCCTCTGCTCCCTCCTCCCTTCCCCTCCACTCCATCTTTCTCCAGCACAGTGCCACATGTCATGTTTGCGTGGCCGTGTGAGGAGGACACTGTTTCTCAGAGGGAGGCTGTCCAGCCTGTGTTTAAGGCCCAGCTTGGAGCTGGATGGCCTCTGGCTCCTGGGCTGCCCTGGTCCACTCTAGAGGCTGGACAGGAAGAGCCAGGACCTCTGTACTCGTATACACAGGCACGCAAGCAGGCACAGACATGCACTCAGCACACACACACGCACAGAGACATGCACACAGGCACACACAGAGATAGTCATACAGTGCACACAGATGCACACAGGGATGCACATACACCGGCATGTGCATTCAGAAGGGAGAGCACACATACAGGCAGGCAAGCGCATAGGCACGCATAGACATGCAGGTAGGCACACACACAGGCAAACACACACGCATGCAGGCAGACACACAGGTGAGCACACAGGCACGCACAGACATGCGGGCAGGCACATACACACAGGCAGACGAGCACACAGGCATACAGGCAGGCATACACATCGGCACACAGAGGCGAGTACACAGGCATCCACAGACGTACAGGCAGGCACACACACACACATACACAGACTGGCAAGCACACAGGCCCTTCGCTCCGGCCCTTCCCCGGCTGAGGCTGAGGCGTGTGTTACAGAGCGCCATGCAGCGGGCCGCCTTCGAGGCCCTGCAGGTGAAGAAGGACCTTGCGCACCGGCAGATCCGGCACCAGGTGAGTGAGCGCAGGTGCGTGGCGTGGCCCAGAGAGGAGGGGGGAGCGTGGCCGCACAGCCCCGGCCGGGGGTTGGGGGGTGCTCAGAGGGTCCTGTCTGCAGGACGCCACCCCACTAGGGAAGCTCAGAAGTGGCTGCGGCCAGCTCAGCCCCTCCATCAGCCCGTAGGGGGTGGGCAGTGCCCTGGGGCGGGACTCAGCTGTCAGGCTCAGGGGACGCTCAGCACATCCTTCTCAGCACACTTGAAATTTCACTTTTTTTTTGCATGTTTTCTCTTCCTTTTTATTCTGTTCTTTTCTTTCCCTTTTTTTTTTTTTTTTGGCCAAATCCGACGTACCTTTTATTTCCCTCTTTACTTTGATCCCACATGGCTGGACATGAAGCTCATTCCTCTGACCAGGGTTTGGGTGGGGGGGTCCCAGGAACTTAGGGGCGAGGCTGGAGGCCCAAGGCACCGGGAAGAACACTCATGGCTGCTACGGGTTTGGCCCTCCGGAACCCATGAGGGTGGACGTTAATGCACCTGGTGGTTTTGATTCACTGGCCACTGTCCCCTGGGCCCTGAGCAGAACCACCTGGGGAAGGTGGACTCACTGTCTGCCGCGCCCCCAGCACGCCTGTCCCTAGCAGAACCTCTGTTTTCTTGTCTGGAAAACAGAGGGAAAGGCCCTCCTGAAGAGCAGAACCGGGTCAGGAGGCAGAGCGCAGAGTGCCCGGTACAGGCCTGGCCTGGGGGCCAGGGGCAGCCGCCCCTCCCCCCGCCACCCTCTCCTCAGAGCGTGAGGGGCCTGGTGTGAGTGGGCCCTGCGCCAGCTCCCCAGGCGTCCCCAGGGCCACACCGTGAGGTTCCCGAGGCTCCAGGCCCAGCCTCGTCTCCCCGAGAGGAGAGAGCACGCAAGGCTGGAACCGCGGCCGACGTGAGTGAAAACCCCTGTCTCATCTTCTGTTTAGATTAAATTAATAGAGACTGAGTTATTGCAGCTGACACAGCTGGAGTTAAAGAGGAAATCCCTGGACACAGAGGCACTGCAGGTATGTAGGGCTCCCCGGCCTGCCCCTGACCCATGTCCCCGCCCGTGTCCCAGGGCCAGCAGACAGGGCCAAGAGCGCAGGGTGGCCAGGGCCAAGGTCAGGGGCCGGGCCGCACAGCCCGCCTCTGGGAGAGGGTCAGAGGAAGGACGATTCATTGCCAGGGCTCACCGGCCGCGTCCCCATCATGCCTTTGCTTTGTGTTGGAGCGGGGTCACTGCCGCGTCCTGTCTTGTGAAGCTTCTTCTGCGGCTCCAGCCCGGCCGGCCGCCATCCTCTGGGGATACGGGGACACGGCTCTCCTGGAGCCCCAAGGATGCTGGAGAAAGGCCCCCCGCAGAGCTGTGTCCGGTGGGAGTGCTGGCCCCGGTGCTGGGTGGTCTCGCAGTCTCCGGCTGGGGGCAGCTCTGGGCCTTCTCTGCGCCTCAGTCTCCTGCAATGCACACAGGGGCCAACGGAGCATGGACACAGGTCTCCATGTCACTGGTTGTCCTGTGCCCGAGTCAGCCCCTGGGGGTGAGGGAGGCGTGTGGGCTGCTTGTGGGTGCGCCTACCAGCTCGCCTCCTGATTGCTGAAGTGGGGTGATCTTCCCGCCCCCGCTTCAGGGCCGAGCCAGCCGTGACAAGCCCTCTCAGGGCCCAGGAGTGGCCTCGGGATGGGGAGGCTCTCGGAGAAGGGGGTGCCCTCCCCTCCGAGCTGGTGGAGAGTGAGTGAGAGAGGGGGAGCCCCAGACACTGCACACGCTGCCCTTGTGTTGCACCCCGTGTGGCCTCCCGCCCCTTCCTGCCCACCCCCTCCCCGCACCCTGCATTTGCTTCCTCCCGCAGGTCTGGGGTCCGAGAGAGCCGGGTCAGATCCGGTGGCTCGTCCGTCACCTCCTTTATTTGCTGTTTCCATTCCACCGCCTTCATCACGGGCAGGGAGGTGCAGGCTTAGGAGGAGAGGGAGGGGTGCGGGTGAGCGGCTGGGCAGAGGCTGGTTCCCCAGCTCTCGACCCGGGCCCAAAGGGAGCCAGGCCCGCGCTGCCTGCCCCGGGCGCGGGCGCGGCACTCGTGTGCTCTTGTGTTGCAGGAGATGGTCTCGGAGCAGCGCTGGGCTCTCAGCAACCTGCTGCAGCAGCTGCTCAAAGAGAAGCAGCAGCGTGAGGAGGAGCTGCGGGCCATCCTGGTGCGTGCATGCGTGCATGCGTGTGGGGCTTCCTGGCGTGTGCATGTGTGTGGGCCATCCTGGTGCATGCATGAGTGCATGCGTGCAGGGCATCCTGGTATATACGTGTGTATGCACATGCGAGCGGGCCATCCTGGGGGGTGTGTATGTGTGTGTGTGTGTGTGTGTGTGTGTGCGCGTGCATGCATGTGTGCGTGCATGTGGGCCATCCTGGTGCGTGCGTGTCTGTGTGCGTGTGCGTGCATAAGGGCCATCCTGGTGCGTGTGGGTGTGTGTGTGCATGTGGGCTATCCTGGTACGTGCGGGTGTGTGTGTGTGCGTGTGTGCATAAGGGCCATCCTGGTGCGTGCGGGTGTGTGTGTGTGCGTGTGTGCATAAGGGCCATCCTGGTGCGTGCAGGTAGGTGTGTGGGTATGCGTGCTTGCAGGCAGGCTGGCCAGGCGTCCTCCCGATACCCGCAGACCCTCCCATGGCGCTGCCACTCGAGAGGCGCGGGAAAGCACCAAGAAGACTCGGGAGACCTGGCTGTTCCCCGCAGGAGCCCGAGTGCTGCGCACGCACCCCCTTTTGTCACCCCCGAAGCCAGTGCAGAGCCAGAGGGCAGCCCTGCCGTTCCCCCACCTCACACACACAGACACACACACAAACGCCCCGTCCCTCTGCACACACCCCAGCACAGAAGGCAGCGCCTGCCCCTCATGTCTCAGTGACCAGTCGGTCGAGGGGAGGCAGGGATGGCCTCACGGATTTTCTCACGTGTCTCTGTCAGAAACAGGGGTGCCGTTAGACCTCCCAGGACGAGCCTGAGCTTTGTGGGAGAAGGGGCCCTCCCAGAGCACGCAGCACAGGGGCCACTCGGGGCCCACGGCTGCCGGGGTGGAAGACGGCCCCCGAACTTGGGGTCCAGGGAGGGGGATGGTCCTTCCTGCCTTGCCGATTCTGGTATTGAGGCTTGGGGGCTGAGGTGGGTGGGAAACCGTGAAAGCCCGCAGTACACCGCGTTGACGGCGCCCCCTCCATCCCCACAGATGGAACTCGAAGCCAAAAGTGAGACCAAACAGGAGAACTACTGGCTGATCCAGTACCAGCGGCTCCTGGACCAGAAGCCCCTGTCCCTGCGGCTGCAGGTGAGGCCGGGCGGTGCCACTGCCCTGGCCTTGCCCTTGTCCCCGCCCGCCCATGGCAGAGGTCCCCAGCGGATGTGGACCGGGGCCCGCCCCCTTTCCAGGAAACGAATCATTCTGTGCACCCTGGAATTTGACCTTCAAGTGGGCATAGAAAGCGCCCTGCAGTGGCACCTATGCTGCTGGCTGGCTCCAGGGCCCCTGGGTGGGGGGTGTCACCCACTCGGGAAACTGCCCAGGCTGGGGGGAAATGGAGCCTCATGCTCAGAGCCTGGTGGCACCACAAGTGTTACATTTCAGGGCAGGAAAGATGTAGTACCTCCCCCCCCCCTTTATATTTAGTGTTTGGGCCACACCTGACAGTGCTCAGGGCTTACTCCTGGCTCTGAGCTCAGGAATCACTCCTGGGATGCTTGAGGGACGGTATGTGGTGCCAAGGATCAGACATGGGTCGACCACATGCGAGGCAAGTACCCTACCCACTATTTCATCCACTCCCCTTCACTGCGGGTGTTTTTTTTTGGGGGGGGGCACACCTGCTCAGGGGTTACCCCTGACTCCTGGTTACTCCTGGCTGTGCTCAGGGGACTATATGGGATGCTGAAGATCAAACCTGGGTTGGTCGTGTTCAAGGCAAACACGCTACCCGCTGTCCTACTGCTCCAGCCTCCGCCCCCCCCACACACACACACACAAACACACTTCTAAATAAAGACGGAGGGGCTGGGAGAGTGGGAGGCACTCTGCTTGCTGGAGGCCCAGTTCTGTCCCTGGCACGCATGTTTCCCTAAACGCTGCCGAGACTGCCCCCAACGAAAAGTTGAGTCATTGTACACAAACGTCACAGGCCCCGGGCCCCAGTGAGGGCAGTTCCCGGTGTCACTGGCAGTGTGCTGGCATTTGGACAGTAGTCTCCCGGGGCCCTAAGCCCTGCCAGTGTCAGACAGACAGAGCCGGAGGGAGAGCAGCCCAGGCTTCTCTCCGTGTGCTTGCAGGGAACGGTCCCGAGAATGCTGCCTGTTTGGGTCATCCCCGGCAGTGCTCAGGGGTCACTCCCGGTGGCGGTGCTCGGGAGTGCATGGGGCCAGGTCCTCCTGCCTGCAGGGTGCCCGGGAGCTGTGTCTGCTCTGTCTGCCGCCGCAGTGACGGCTCTTGTCTCGCAGGAGGAAGGCCTGGAGAGCCCGCTGGTGGCCCTCCTCCGGGAGCTGTCGGCCGAGCACTACCTGCCACTCTTCGCTCACCACCGCCTGTCGCTAGAACTGCTGGGCCGGATGAGCCCCGGGGACCTGGCCAAGGTGGGAGACAGCGGCACTGTGGCCTGTGCTATCCCCAAACCCCCTTGCTCCTGCCACTCTGATGACGCCAGCCACTGGCAGATGTGCTCCCGGCTTCCCCCGCGCCAGTCACCTCCCTGGACCCCTCCTGGGCACACACTGAATGCTTCGGGCTAAACCCAGGAGGGGGGTCCTGCTGCCCCAGACCTGCGCATGGTAGCTGGGCCCGCGCCCCCTCCCCCAGACCTTGGGGGTAGGGCACAGGGACATCCTGGGTAGGAGCTGAGTGCTGCACCCAGAGGACCCCAGAGTCCGGGCCTGTGCCAGCCTGAGAAGCCCTTGCTAAAGTGCGGCCGGTGCCCGTGGCCTCCCCTTGGGGCCTCAGTCCCCGTCCTCACTCATGCTTGGGCCTGAGCGTGTGGCCCCGGTCACAGCCGCTGTCCCCCCGGCTCAGGTGGGCGTCTCGGAGACCGGCCTTCAGCACGAGATCCTGCGGCGAGCCCGGGCGCTGCTGGAGGCGGCCAGGGCCCAGCCAGGTAGGACCCGAGTGTGGCCAGGTGCCCATAGGGGCGGGAGGTGCCCCCATTTCCCCTCCCAGCCCTGCCCTTAGCGACTCCTGAGTGGCACAGGCGGATGAGGGGGACGGGGCCAGGTTTCTGTGCAGCCTGCAGCAGCCTCCCAGCTCCCTGCCCGTCGCGTTCCCGGAGCACTGCAGCCTGGGCCCAGGGACATGGGCGGGGGGTACAGGCCAGCTTCTGGGACACCTGGCCCCTGGGGGCGCAGGAGAACAGAGGGGCTGCGAGGGTTCCCCTGTCCCTGCGGCGGGGGGGGGGGGGGCTGGCATGGCACAGCAGCGGCTCTGATGTTGGAACAGCCTTTACCGGGGCTGCGGCTTCGTGCCCCATCCATCAGGGATTCCTGAACACAAAGCCAGGAGGGAGCCCTGAGCACCGCCAGGTGTGGCCCAGACAGAGAAAGTAAACCCTGCTAGTGACTCGAGCCGGCGAGCACAGGGAAAACCTGGGCTGCTTCAGGGCGGGGTGCCCTTGGGGTACAGTGTACCCGCAGATACCACCTGCACCGCATTACACTCTGGGCCCTGCATTGTGCTGCACGCCCACAGTGTGCTAAGTGCCACGTTACACGGCGCCTCTCGCTACACTGCACCCCATACTACCCTGCATCCCACACTACGCTGCATCCCACATTACACTGTGCGCCATAATACGCTGCCCCCACACTATGTTGTGCCCCTTGCTACACTGCACCCCACACTACATTGCCCCCCCATACTACACTAAGCACCATAGTACACTGCCCACACTACACCATGCCTCCACATTATACTGTACCCCATTTGCAGGACCAGGATCTTCAGGAAGCCTGTTCTAGTGGCAGCGCAGGGAGGCTCCCATGAGGGGGGGCCCTGTGGGGGAGTTTCCGCCTCCTGCTCCTCTGCCCACCCCCCCGCCCCATAGGGCCCATGGCTGTGCCCCTACTGGGCCTTAGGCTGGCAAGGAGGAAGCTTCGGGGGGCCCACTTCAGCCCCCCCATGCTCCTGCCCCCCAGTCTCTGGGTGTCCCCAACCCACTTTTCTCCTGCCTGGAAGTGGGAACAACCCCCCCTCCCAGGTTCTGCTGAGTCAGGGGGCTTTTCCTGAAGGGTGTAGGCCGTGGGAGGGGTTAGCGCCACCGTTAGCAGCCCCCCCCCACTCATCACAGATGGGGCAGCTCACCAAGGAGAAACTGGGATGGTTCCCCCCAACCTGAGACCTGCATCCTCTTTTCCGGCTATGGGGCTGCAGGTGAGAGGAGCCTTAGGGTTGGGTGGCTGGGAAGACCCTGCTCAGTCCAGCCCCCTGGACCCCCCTCCTACACAGAGCTGCTGAAACCAGCCAAGGATGAGGAGCTCCCCCCTGCCCCTGAGGAGCCCGAGTCCACGAGGCCATCTGCGCCCCCCCAGGAGCTGGAGGTGCCAACCTCAGAGTGTGTGGTGTGTCTGGAAAGGGAGGTGAGTTGGGGGGCCCCAGTGCCCTGCGTCATACCCGTGGGACGTGGGAATGGCAGGAAATGAAAAGGTTCGGTGGACCCCAACTCCTCCCCATCCCCAGGAGTAGTGCTGGTCTGTTTCGGGCCTTTTCCCAAAAAAAGAGGGAATTTCCCTGAACACTTATCAGGTGACTGACAAGTTTTCTCTAAAAAGGATTTTGTAAATCCATGTTTTTAGAAGTCGAAGCTAACGCTTTGGGACCATTAAGGGCGTCCTCGTGTGTGCCGGCCGGCCCTGCTGGGGGACCCCGGGAGCAGTGGGCACCTTCTGTCTCCCACACTGGCCAGGCCCCAGGGCCCCGGGCACCCCGTCAGTCCCGTATATTGGTCCCAAGGGAGCCGCCCGGGGCGGCAGTCAGGGGAGCGCCCGTGGGAGGCTTCCTGGGGCGGGGCAGAGGGTCGGAGGTGGTCCCGGTACTCGCGGGGAGCTGGGACAGAGCAGGGGGTCCAGGACCCCGGGAAGCCGGCGGCCAGGCTGACGCTCCCCGCTCGCCCCCAGGCGCAGATGATCTTCCTGCACTGCGGCCACGTGTGCTGCTGCCAGGAGTGCTGCGAGCCGCTGCGCACGTGCCCGCTGTGCCGCCAGGACATCGCCCAGCGCCTGCGCATCTACCACAGCTGCTGAGCCCGCCCCAGCGCCGCGCAGTGCGCCTGCGCGTCTCTCCCCGCTGCGGAGCCGACTCCGCCCCCAGCGCCTGCACCTGCCGCCGCGCGGAGACTGCTGCGCCTGCGCGCCTCTCCCCGCCCGTGGAACCTGACTCCGCCTCCAGCGCCGCGCACGTGCTCGCCCTGCTGCCGGAGACACGTACGCCTGCAGACACGTACGCCTGCGCATCTATCGCCGCCTCGGGCCTGGCTCCGCCCCCAGAGCCGAGCACGTGCTGCCGAGACCTCGCTGCCTCGGGCCTGACTCCGCCCCCAGCGCCGGAGACACGTGCGCCTGCGCATCTATCGCTGCCTCGGGCCTGGCTCCGCCCCCGGCCCCGCCCTCAGCGCTACACACGTGCCCGCCTGGCGGCCAGAGACATCCGCCCCTGAGGGTCTCTCACCGCAAGCTGCACCCTACTCCGCCCCCAGGCCCCGCAAGTGCCCACTGCGCCCACGGAGGTCGCTGGGCGCCCGCTCCTCTACCGCAGCAGCCACGTTTCCACACGTGGGGACACCGATTTCCGCAGGCCGGCCTCAGCCCCCTGCGTCCTGCCCGCGTGCCCACCCACGGCGGGGCTGGACGGCGGTGGGGAGTGGTCCTGCCGCAGCCCGCACTTGTCTGAACCCCATGGAGGAGGAAGGAGCGTGTGGACTGCGGACAGACCTGGGGTCAGAAGGGTGACTGTCGCGAGGATGTGTGTCCTGGCCAGTGGCCCGGCCGTCGCCTGCAGCTGCCTGGGGCCCTCACTGGGGAACGGGCCGGGGTGCAGGAGGGGTGGTCGGGGGCGCTGTGTGCAGTGCACTGGGGACTGCCCGCTGGTCGCACCCTCCTGGCCTCCCAGGACCCGGACCCGGCATCCTCGGCGCCCCTCACATCTGCACCGCCTCCCGCGTGTGGCTCTGGGGCAAGCAGTCAACTTTGCAGACCCAGAGCCGGAACCCTAATAAACCCCCTTACAGCCTGCTCCGCCCGTTGTTCTTGGGGGTGGCGGGGGTGGGTGGGACGGCCCCAGAGACGGCCGCACCCGGTGGGCAGAGAGGGAGATAGGTGCTGCTCGGTGAGATGGTGCCCTTGCGCCCCCTGACGGGCCCCGCGCTGCGGCGGGCTGTGCGTTCCCCCCACCCGGACGGGCAGCTTGCGGGTGTGGGCCCAGGAGCATCCCAGCCCCCGGAGCCAGACTGCGGACTGCACGTCCCTGCACGGGGGCCTTGGGCCTCGTCCCTGACGTTCGGATGCACGTTCTGGGTTTTCTTTTTTCTTTTTGGGTCACACCCAGCAATGCTCAGGGGTTACTCCTGGCTCTGCACTCAGGAACCACTCCGGGCGGTGCTTGGGGGACCATAATGGGATGCCGGGGATCGAACTGGGGTCACCCGCATGCAAGGCAAACGCCCTACCTGCTGTATTGTCGCTCCGGCCCCCGTTCTGGGTTTTCTTAGGCTTAGGGCATGATGTGGGCTGACCCCCGGCTTCCAGGCAATACCTGTCGGCTGTTTGCACGAGGGGCCACTAGTGCCCACCCCAGGGTGGCACCCAGCTCAGGCTGCCGGGAGAGGAAACCCCTGCCGGGCCTCTGTCCCTCCCTCTGCCGACCCTGTCGAGGAGAGGGTTGAGGTGACAACCCTGCTCTCCAGCTGCTCCCCACGCCTCCTCACTGCTCCTGGGCTCAGCTTGGCCAGGAGGGGAGCCCAGGCCTGAGGAGGGCAGGTGTCCCGTAGACCAGCTCGGGACCTCCTTCTGGAGGTTAGCTGCGTCTCCCAGGTGTCCCCTAGCCTCCGCCAGCTTCCAGCTCCCGTCTCTCCCAGCGGCAGGACCAGGGCAGTGGGCGTTGCTTCCTGGAGCTGGGGAGGGTGGGTCAGCACAGGGTCCACATTGCCCCCAGGGCTGAGGACAACCCCCCAGGCATGACCTGGCCCACAAGCTGTAGCATCCAGGCCCGTCCTTGTTGACGGCCAGATGCCACCACACGCATGCACCACAATAGACCACGCACACTGGGCTGAGATCCCCACGGCACGGTGGCTGCACGCAGTCACTGGCTTTAAATAAAGCATTTATTGATTAATGGAAGCCGAAACTGTTCGCATGGTATTTCCACTACAGTATCTGGGGAGGGCTGGAAAGCCCCAGAAGGCACTAGAAGGCAGGTCTGGACGACTGTGCTGGAAGGTGAGTGAGGCCCAGAGCTCCGGCCACCACCACCTCGCCCACCGTGGGGGGCGTGAGGAGCAGCCATCGCCCTCAGCAGGCAGGAACTCCGGCCTGGTGGGGGTCCGTGGCTCCACCCTGCCCCCCCCAAACAAGGAGTAGGGGATGGACGGTTGGACCCAACTGAAAAAGAGCCTGGAATTGGCAGGGGGGGGCTCGGTGACTCGCGGGCACCAAGTCAGCCTGACCCCCTTCTTCGGGGGCAGCACGTACCTTGGAGGTGGCCCCAGAAGACAGAACCATGCCCCTGCCTAGCAGTCCACCCCTGGGACATTTGGCACAGAAGTGGTCCTGGAATTCAAATGCTGGAGGTGGGGGCAAGGACTTCCAGCCCCCTGGGAGGGGTCCTAGCTCACACACGGCACCTTCCAGGACTTTCTGGCTCCCTCCTTGGCCACCAGCCTGTCTCCCTCTCTCTGCCCGCCCCTAAGTGCCTCCAAGCCACGGCCTGAGGGGGTGGGGGGGGCAGGGCCCAGCAGCCTCTGTCCTGTGAGCCCCTGGGTGGCTTTGGTCCCAGGAGGGGGCTCCTGCATGATCTGGTGGGGAGAGAGAGGCTACCCAGGAAGGGGACCCCCAGCCCCGCACGGGAGGAAGCCAGGGATCACCCCACAGAAGAGAAAACGGAGCAACAAGTAGGACCGAACCCAATAAAGTGACTGGGGCGTGAGGGGGCTGTCCCCCCACGGAAGACATAGCACCCCCACCCCGCCACGGTGTCCCCGGAAGCCGGGAAGCCTAGAACTCAGTCTGCACCCCGGCACTGTCCTCGGTGGTGGTGTGGATGGGGGGACGGCTGCCGGGGCCGGACACCTGCTCCCCCGTCTCCTGGTCGCTGGGCTTGGGGCTCTCGAGGCTGGGGGCCTTGGCAGGCGGGAGGTGCCGGAGGGGCGAGGCGGGGGGCGAGGCGGAGGGCGCGGGCGCCGCCGGGGGTCGCGCGCTCTCCTGGGCGGGCGCCCCGTTGAGCAGGGGCCCGGCCGGCGCGGGGCTGTCGGCCTGCTGATCCCGGGCCAGCAGGCCCCGGATCTCCGTGACACTGTCCGGGGACGCCGGCGACGCGGGCTCCGGGCTGGCCTCGAAGGACAGCGCCGCCGCCGCCGCCTCCTCCTCCTCCTGCACCAGCGACACCACGTGCTTGGCGCGTCGCCGCTTCTCCGAGAGCGCGGCCGCTTCCGGGGTGCCGGGGCTGCCCGCGTCGTCCCCGCCGCCCCCGTACTCGCCGCCCCAGTCGATGGGGGCGCCCTCGGCCAGCAGGTGCAGGTTGGGGTCGCTGTTGTGCATGACCATGCTGTCCCGGTAGAGGTTGTGCTTGCGCTGCACGGCGGCTTCCTTCACGGCTGCAGGGGCGGGGCGAGGGGGTCGTGAGGACCCCGTGGCAGCCCCACGGCTGGCTCCCCGTCCCTCCCGGGACGGGCGCGCCCCCAAAGGCCAGCGAGCGGAGAGCAGGCGAGGCTCGGGTCACGTGCTCCCTCTGGCCGGCCGGGTCCGCCCCATCGCTCCGCCCTCCACCGCGGGGTGACGCTGCCCCGTGGGCTGGCCGGTCGGTCGGCCGGCCGGCACCCACCTTGCAGGATGTCCTTCATGACCGTCTGCAGCACCACCTCCTCGTACGTGTTCTCCACGAGGATGAACCTGGCAAAGTCCTCGAAGATCAGCTCCTGGAAGCGGGGCAGCTCCTGCAGGAAGCAGACGGGCACGGGACGGAGAGGGCGTGAGGTGGGCGCTAGGAGGGACCGGCAGGGGGCGGTGCTGAGCGGGAGGCGGGGAGAGCGGGGAGAGGGCGGCCCCTAGGAGGGACCAGCCGGGGGCGGTAAGGGTGGCCCCTAGGAGGGACCAGCAGGGGGCAATGCTGAGCGGGAGGCGGGAAAGGGGGAGAGGGACCAGCAGGGGGCGGTGCTGAGCAGGAAGCAGAAAGAGGAGGTAAGGGTGGCCCATAGGAGGGACCAGCAGGGAGAGATGCTGAGCGGGAGTCGGGGGGAGGGGGGGAGGCGGCCCCTAGGAGGAACCAGCCCGGGGCGATGCTGAGTGGGAGGTGGGGAGAGGGCGGCCCCAGGAGGGACCACCAGGGCGCGCTGCTGAGCGGGAGGCGCGGAGAGCAGGGAGAGGACGGCCCCTAGGAGGGACCAGCAGGGGGCAATGCTGAGCAGGAGGCTGGAAAGGGGGAGAGGGACCAGCAGGGGGCGGTGCTGAGCAGGAAGCAGAAAGAGGGGGTAAAGGTGGCCCATAGGAGGGACCAGCAGGGAGAGATGCTGAGCGGGAGTGGGGGGGGATAAAGGTGGCCCCTAGGAGGGACCAGCCGGGGGCGATGCTGAGTGGGAGGCAGGGAGAGGGGGGGAGAGGGACCAGCAGGGGGCGGTGCTGAGCAGGAAGCAGAAAGAGGAGGTAAGGGTGGCCCAAAGGAGGGACCAACAGGGGGCGGTGCTGAGCAGGAGGCGGGAAAAAGGGGGAGAGGGACCAGCAGGGGGCGATGCTGAGCAGGAAGCAGAAAGAGGGGGTAGGATGGCCCACAGGAGGAAACAGCAGGGGGCGGTGGTGAGCGGGAGGTGGGGAGAGGGCGGCCCCTAGGAGAGACCAGCAGGGGGCGGTACTGAGCGGGAGGCAGGGAGCGAGAGAGGGCGGCCCCAGGAGGGACCAGCCGGGGGCGATGCTGAGTGGGAGGCAGGGAGAGGGGGGAGAGGGACCAGCAGGGGGCGGTGCTGAGCAGGAAGCAGAAAGAGGGGGTAAAGGTGGCCCATAGGAGGGACCAGCAGGGAGGGTGGGAGGCGGCCCCTAGGAAGGACCAGCAGGGGGCGATGCTGAGCAGGAAGCAGAAAGAGGAGGTAAGGGTGGCCCAAAGGAGGGACCAACAGGGGGCAGTGCTGAGCAGGAGGCGGGAAAAGGGGGAGAGGGACCAGCAGGGGGCGATGCTGAGCAGGAGGGGGGGGGAGGGTGGCCCCTAGGAGGGACCAGCAGGGGGCAGTGCTGAGCAGGAAGCAGAAAGAGGGGGTAGGATGGCCCACAGGAGGAAACAGCAGGGGGCGGTGGTGAGCGGGAGGTGGGGAGAGGGCGGCCCCTAGGAGAGACCAGCAGGGGGCGGTGCCGGGCGCGGGGCGGGGCCACACATACCGACTTGCAGGTGGGCGCCAGCTTCTTGAGCAGGAAGGGGATGGTGATCTGCAGCAGGGCTTCCCGGAAGAAGCGCTTCCGCACGGTGCTGCTGTCATAGTCGTACTTCTGCAGGGGATGGGCTGTGGGTCAGGGGGGCCCCGGGGAGGCGGGGGGTGTCTGCCTCCAGCCCTCCAGCCCCCGCGGCCGGCACCCACCTTCAGCACCCGCTCCAGGATGCGCTGGATGGACTTGCACAGCTCCTCCTTGGTGGGCCCCTTCCCCAGCTCCTGGTGCAGCAGCGTCTCGAAGGTGTACACCGCGTTGTCCATTTGCTGCAGGGATACCCCTCAGTGAGCGCCCACCCGCTCCCACGCAGCTCCCCTGGGATGGGAACTAGGGGGTCCCTAAGTCTGTGCTGGGTGTCCCCAGGTGAGCGGGGCGAGGGGCCTGGCGGTCTAGGGGATGAGCGGAGTAAGGGAGTGGGGGTGGGGGTGCAGTTGAGGTGCAGGAGGGGCACCCAGGAGGGGCGCCGTTGAGCAGGGGTGCAGGGGGGCGGGCTCACCTCCCGCATCAGGATCTGTGCCCGCTGCTTAAACACGGCCGTGCTGGACACGTCGAAACGCTGCTGCAGCCCGTCCAGCCGCAGCGGCTCCATCTTCTCGTAGCAGCTCTGCATCTTGAGCGGGTGGAAGGCCAGCTGGGACAGCTTCTCCATGTACTGCAGGAGCAGGGCAGGGCAGGGCTCAGCGGGCGCCCACAGCCCCCCGCGGCACCTGGGACCTGGGTGCGGGGAACGGCGTCCTCCCTCCTCGGGGGGACAGTGACGTGGGAAGGGCTCGCTCTCAAGCCTGTTTCCTCCACCCCAGGACCCGGAATGAGCCTTTCGTGAGCTCCACGGGCCGCGCTGGTTCTCAGGGACCACATGCGTGATTCTCAGCGTGGGGTACACAAGGGAGGCTGATGGGAGCAATCAGCACCCAGCACCCGGGACCTCCCCCCAAGAACCAAAAAAAGGCACCAGGAGCAGCTGAGTCAGCTCCCCCCGAGTTGAGCCAGCCAGGACCAACCTGCCGCTCACGTCCACCCCCTTCCCTGGGGGCCCCCGCCACACAGAGAGCCCCCAGAGCCCACCCACCTCCTGAGGGAGGGGGGGCGTTTGCCACACGGGGAGCCCCCAGCGCCCACCTCACCTCGCCCAGTTTGTCGATGCCGCCCTCGTTGATGACGTTCAGGTTCATGTCCGTCACCTCCTTGAAGAGCACGTCCCGCACCTCGGTGAAGCCCTGGCTGGTGGGCACCATGAGGGCCTCCAGGATGGACGGCAGGTACGGCTGCACGTGGTTGCGGACGCACACCTCGGCCTTGGGGAGGATGAAAGCTGCGCCCGGAGGAGGACGGGTGAGTGGACAGTACTGGGGAGCGCCCACCCCAACACACATACACACACACACACACACACACACACACACACACACACACACACACTCTGATCCTCCAGAGACACTGCAGGGGACAAAAATCATCCAGGTGGCAAAAATCCCGTGTCTGAAGCAGCAGCGATGGCCATAAACTACAGTAATGGGCTCTCTGGGGCGGGAGAGCAGGCAAGGCCGAAGCCCCGTGGACGCCCTGCCCAGGGTCTATCCCAGCACTGCCAGGACCCCAGGCCTGGCCAGATGCAGCCCTAAAGGCCCAGGACCCCAGGCCAGCGGAATCATCCCCAGCACAGCAGGACCCTGTGTGGAACCCCTGTCCCCAGGTGAGACCAGCTGGTATGCCCCCCCTGCCCCCACAGGGCCTCCTGGACGCTGCTGTGAGCCCCCAAAATGAACGCGTGCAAAGGCTTAAGGACAAGACGTAGTTACTCCTGGCACGTGCAGACACCCGCACATCAAGGCTGGTGTCTGGCCAGCCCTGAAAGCGTGGGGGGAGGGGGGAGACCCCTGGGCACCTGGCGGTCAGTGAGGGTCAGGGGCAATGCCGGGGGTGGGAAATGGGCCTTGAGGAGTGGGGGTCCTCACAGACGGGCTCCATCCCCGAACCCCAACGCTGTCACACCTGCCCCCAGCCATTCCCAGACCAGGGCTAACCCGGAAGCAGCACAGGTTGCGGGGGCACACACACACACACACACACACACACACACACACAGGCTCAGACCGAAATCAGCGCAGGGTGCGGGGACACACACACACAATGGGTCCACTTTCACTCCACGTCTGCCCAGAGCCAGACAAACCACGTCACCACCGCCAGGGCCGTGGCCATCGCCCAGGAAACGGATGGAGCCCAGTCCGGGCTGCCCCGGGTGCCCACCTCGGATCTTGCTGGCCAGGTGCTCCTTGGAGGTGATGATCTGGTCCATGTCGGTGCGGATGACCGCCTCCATGGCCGGCCGCGCCTGCTGCAGCTTGGCCAGCACCTCGTCGAAGCGCTCCTTGGCCTGCTCGTACACCAGGCGGTAGACGGCATCGGAGATCTGTGGGCCGGGCACAGCGTCAGTGAGGGGCGAGGGGCAGAGGGCACAGCGGGCCCGGAGCCCCGCCCCCTAAGCCCCAGGCCCCGCCCCCGCAGGTCCCGCCCCACAGACACAGGCCCCGCCCCCATAGGCACAAGCCCCGCCCGTCAAGGCCCCGCCCCACATGCCCCGCCCCCAGGCCCCGCCCAGCAGTCTCAGGCCCTGCCCCATGCAGGTCCAGCCCCGCCCCCGCAGGCCGACCTGGATCCACTGGCGCTGCCGCTCCTGGGGCTTCCCCTTCAGCCGCGGGCCCAGCTCCGCCTTCAGCTCGGGGCCCAGCTCCTCCATCACCAGGTTGCTCAGGATCTGGGGGCCGCGGGCACAGAGTGGCGTGTCCCATCCCGGCGCTGCCGCCCCCCGCCCCACCCATCCGTGCCCACCGCGGCGCCTGCCCGCGACCTGCCGCTCACCTGCACCTCGTTCCCGCACAGCATGTCCCACGTGCCGTACTGCTCCCGGGACTGCCGGAACATGCGGATGGCGTCGGTGAACGCGGGGCCCTCCACCTTGGCCTCCTCGGGGATCCCTGTCGGGGCAGGGGGCGAAGGTCAGCGGCCTGGGCAGGCCCCGAGGGGGCAGTCGGAGCCAGAACCCTCAGGTGTGGGCATATTCACATGCGCCAGGCTGGGGGGCACTGCCCGCAGGGGCCAGACCAGGAGCGGCAGAGCGGGACGGAGGGGCCCCAACCCCCGGGGTCCCATCCCCACTGTGCCCCCCACCCCCCCACCCCCCATGGAGACACTCTGCACTGTCAGCCCCTCCACCGGGAAATGAACCAATGACACAAACCAGGGGGTCCCCAGAGTGCCCCCACCTGAGCAGGGTGTGTGGCCCGACCTGGCTGTCTCCTGTGAGGCTGGGGGTGGCACATCAGGGGGCCCAGGGCCTGTCTCCACCCCCTCCAAAGCGGCCCCCAGGGCACTGAGTAGCTGCTGAGCTGCTGTCCCCTGGGGGGGGGGGTGGCCCCAGACCTGCGGCACCGCCCCCAATAAATGCCATTTCTGGGATTCTGTGGCTGGGGGCAGGGGGTGTGGACGAGACTGGCAGGAGGCCCAGCAGAAAGGGCCGTGGGGGAGGTGACCCGCCTGCGGAGGGAAGGGGAAGCTGAAGACGGGCTGAGTCACCCACAGACAGAAATCCCCTCCAGGGTGGGGAAGACACACCCCACAACATCCGGGGTGGGGCGGCCTCAGGCCTGCCGGGGCTGGAGGGGCTGAGGCAGCAGCAGCGGGTGGGGCTGTGAGGGGCTGCGACCCCCCATACAGGGACCCGGCCAGCTGGTGTTGGGGGCTCAGGGAGACAATCAGGCGACTGCGGGGAACCACGTTTGTGTAAGGACAGAAATGGGGGTGCCGGGCAAGCAGGAACCTCTGGTCTCCGGGGTCTCAGGAGCCCCCCTGCGCCCTTCAACCCCGCACCCCTACCCGCAGCTGTGGGCCGGCCGAGACTTCCCCCCAATCTCCCTCAGAACCCCGACGCAGGGTAGGGGGTGGGGGGTGGGGTCCTGCCCGCGACTCTGCCGGGGAGGCTGCACCCCGGGTCACGGCAGTGGCAGCAGGGACCCCGTCGGACAAGACACCCAATGCAGCTGCAGGAATGCAGGAAGTGAGGGGCCGGGACAGGCTGCTGTCCACCCAGTCTGGCCTCCCTGCCCTCCCACTTCCTGGCTGTCCCCCAAAGTGAGCTAAGCCAGACCCTGCCTCTGGGCCCAGGACTCAGAGCACTTTCCCACGACTGGGGGGAGGGGCGCGCCCACCCAGCTAGATCCGGCCTGTCGGCTCCAGAGCCCAGAGCCGGTCCCCCCTGTGTCCCCGTCCTGGGTCACAGAGCTCCCCTGGCCGCCCTCCTGTGCATGACACCCCCACCAGAACCCCTTTAGCCTCCTGGCAAGTGTCCACTAGGGGCCAAGCACAGGCCTCAGTGGGCCCCCGCTGACCTGCAGAGCCTCCATCTGAGGGTCCCCCGACCTGTCCCCACCAGGTCCAGCATTACCAAGCCTGGGTTGGGGGGGCCAGAGCCCTCCCTGCCCTGTGCCCATGGTTGAGGCCAAGTCTGGCTCCTCACGGCACATACCCTGAGGTGGGGCAGGGGGAGTCAGGAGACCCGATGGAAGGGGTGGGGGCAGTGGGCGGGGTTACTCGGGTGCTGCCCTCCAGGGCCTGCCCACGTCGCCCACTGCCCCGGGCAGTTTGCCCAAGCGAGACTGGTCAGGGACAGCTGTGTCCTGAGGTGGTCACCGGGGTCAGGACAAGGCCGCTCCTCCCCCGAGGGCAGAGAGACCCTCTGTGTCCCCCAACAATCACCTACGGGGGAACTCAGCACCCCCAAACCTCAGCGCCTCTGCTGAGCTGCGCCCCATCTCGCCCTGCCCTGTGTGAAGCCCCCGGTTCCTTCCCCACGCAGGATCCCCACCACCCAACCGTCCCCTCGGGCCTCCGGAGGTCCCAGGCTCTGCAGCACTGGGCCTGGCTGTCACCCAGCGGCCTGTCGGGCTGACAAGCGTCTCCACCGGCAGCAGGCGCCTCCCTGGCGCACACGTCCAGCTGCGCTCGGGCGCCCTCGGGGCCAGACACAGGACAGAGTGGGTCAGACAGGACAGTGGCAGGGCGTGTGCCCGGCACACAGCCAGTGCCGATCCTGCTGGGTCCCCAACCCACCAGGAGCAAGCCCTGAGCAGACAAAACCTGCTGGCAGCAAAGCAGGTAAGGCAAGCACCTTGCATGCAGCCAACCCGGGGTCCACCCCCAACATGCACAGAGGCGGGAGGAGTGAGCCCCACACACCCCGGGGGTAAACCCCCCCAAAAACACACACCAAAAAAAAAAACAGGGGACCAGAAAGAGCACAGCAGGGAGGGTGCTTGCCTGGCACGTGGCTGACCCAGGTTCACTCCCCGGCATCCCACAGAGCCCCCCGCCAAACACCACCAGGAGTGAGTCCCGAGTGCAGAGCGAGGAGGAACCCCTGAGCATCCCCGGGTGTGGCCCCCACCACAAAACAAAAGTTGTTTGTGTGCATATCAAGAGCAGGAAGAGCCTGGGCAGAGGAGACTGACTCTTCACAACCCCCAGGACACAGCCTCATGCCTGCCTGGCCCTGTCCTCGGATGGCGCAAGCGGAAGCGTGCATCTGTGACCCGGGGCGCCGGGGCTCGGCACCCACACCCCTCTTGAAACACCCTCGCGGGTTCCGTACCCTCCCCCCCCCAGCAGGAGCAGCGGCGCCTGGAGCCCCGGGAAGGCGCGGGCGCCCCCGAGCGGGCCTGCCACGCCGCGGGCCACCACCAGGGGTCGCCGGCGCTCACCGTTGTTGCAGTGGCGGATGCAGTCGCGCAGCACGGCCTGCCACTTGTCCTGCTCGGCCTCGGTCATCATGCAGAAGTAGTAGTGGCGCGCCCACGGGTGCCAGAGGATGAGCGGAAACTGCGTGGGGCACTTGAGGATGGGCGCGCTGCCCGCTTTGGACGTGGTGCCTGCGGAGACAGTGTCGGCTGAGTCAGGATCACTCCTTAGGGCGCCTCGTCCTCTGGGGGTGATGGGTGGTTGGGTGATGGGCACAGGCCCAGCCCGGCCAGGATCGCCGTCCTGGAGGGTTCTGGGGGTGTCCGGGGGCGCCTCGCAGCATCTCCACCCCCGGTGCGTGCGAGGGTGGGGCTGGAGCCATAAGCAGTACCCACTTGCCTCCAGCCCCCCGGGGGACCTGAACCCCAGCTCTGGACTTGGAGGCAGGCGCCCCTGAGCAGAGACACGCCAAGAAGGCCACAACTGTCATCGCGCCTGCACACGGCCGGCCTGGGCTCCACCCCGGCACCCCCCACGGTGGTGCCCCACCAGGAGTGATTCCTAAGCACAGAGCCAGGAGTGAGCCCTGAGGGCAACCAGATGTGCCCACCCCCCAAAAAAATATCTAAGCGTAGTCAAAATGACAGCAGGAGCACAGAACAGCTCACGGGGAGGGGGGGGAGGCTCATCTCTGGACTGCGTGGGATACTGGAGACTCAGCGAGAACGTGGTCAAGATCACGACTGACCACGGTCAAGATCCCATGCCACAATGAACGCCCCTCTGTGGGCCCCGTGCTGGGCTCTGGCCACGTGGCCACTCCGGGGTCTACACAGCACGCCCCGTCAGGCTTCCAGAGGAAGTGGGGGGTGGAGGTGAGGAGACTCTCCCTGGGGCAGACCAGCTCTGGGCTGGTGTCCAGGAAGGCCGGACCCGGGGGGCCCCCAGGCAGGCTGGGGCTCCTCAGAGCCAGGGCACCAGCTGCCCCCAAACAGCCCCCAAACAGAAGTCCACCCCTGCCCCCTTTGTATCCAAGGTCGACTCGGGGGTAAAAGTGTCCCTCTAAGGCCTTGGGGGTCCCCAGCAGGGCGGGCGCTGAGGACAACTCAGCTGACAGAGCCGGGGCACCCCGCTTTCCCCCAGAGGCCCCCAGAAGCCTTGGGGAGGAAAGAGGCTGGTGGCTGCATCACTGAAAGGCTCAGAGAGCGGTACTGGGGGGCCCAGTCCTCTTTACCGTGCCTCCTGGGACAGGCCCCCAGGCTCCCCTCTAGGGGCACTGGTTACTCAGAGTACCAGCGCTGGGCCGGAGGTGGAGTCTGCAGCTCTGGGGTCAGATGCCCACCCCCCGCACCCCCAGGCCCGCCTGGGGCCCTGTGGATGGCGGGAGCACTTTACCTGGTAAGGAGTGGCCCACCAGCTCCAGGTACTGGTCCACGGAGGTGAGGATCCGGTAGCCGGCGCTGTTGATGATGGCGCGGGGCGGGATCTGGCGCTCATAGGCCTGAAGGGGGCAAGGGAGCCAGACCCTGGGATCACAGAGGGACCCAGCCCCACCCGCCTCCAGCCCCCGGGGACCTGAACCCCAGCTCTGGACTCGGAGGCCCCTGAGCAGGGACACGCTGAGAAGGCCATGAACTGTCATCTCGCCTGCAAACCGGGTGACAGTCCCCACCCGCAGGGGCGACCTTCACGAGGACAGAAAGGGGGTGCCCGAGCTGGCCCACAGCAGGGGCCAGGGCGCGATCTCGCTGCCAAGGGCAACCGACCCGTGACATGACGCTGGCTCCAGGCCTGTGTCAGTCACCGTCAGCGGGCGCCACCTGCCCGGGCCGCGGCGCTGACATCACACAGGGTCCCTCGGGAGGAGACTTGGGTGGGCACTGCTTTGGGGTTTGGATCGTGTGGTGCTGGGGACAGATCCTGGGGCGCTCGGAAAGGTCGGGTTAAGGCCCGAATAGCTGCCCTACCACGCCCGGCCACTAGGTGTCACTCCTCAACAACGTCTGGATGGCTTTGGGCTCCAACGCCCCAAATTTAGAGATACTCTGGGTTTGGGGTGGGGAGGCTGATGGTGCTTGATGGGCCCGATGCCATGCTGGGGATCAAACAGGCTCGGGCAAGGCAGGCACCCTGACGCCTTCGTCTTCCTGCAGCCAGGAGCCAGCCTCTTCCCTCAGCCCTCTCAGGTGGAAACCACTGCCCATCGTGGTGCTCCTGACTCAGTTTCTCTAATATGGACGTGAGGGTAAGGGGATCCTGGCTGAGCTGGAGAAAGGTGGGGAGGGGGGCTAGAAATGAGGTGTGTGTCTCCACCATGGCAGGGCGGGGCACGCAGAAGCTGGAAGAGCTTCCCTGAGACCAGACTGAGGCAGGAAAGGGGGCCAGGGACCCCGGGGGTTGCAGAGGAGCTAGTGATGGGGGCGGACCCGCTCGGCGGGGGCAGGGCAGCCAGGCGATGGGGGGATGGCCGTGGCAGGCCGAGGGCCAGGCATGTGGCAGTCACTGGCCCGTGGAGGATGGGGGGGGGGGGGGGGTTGGTGTGTGGGGGAGGGGCTCACCACTTTGTTCTCGTAGAGGATCAGCCCGTAGTTGTGGGGCACCAGGCTGAAGCGGTTCCTCCACTTCTTGTTGTCCTCCTGGTACTGGAAAAGGTTCCCCGAGAAGATGATGCGCTCCTCCAGGGGCACCTGGGGGGGGGGGGGGCGGAGTGAGAACCTCGCCAGGAGTCAGGGGGCCGGGCCTCCTGCTTCAGCCTGGGGTGCAGGACTGGAGGGGTCGGTGGGGGGGCCTGATAGGGGGGATGTGCCACAGGCCTGGACCACTCAGGCCCCAGGATGCCCCTGGCTCTGAGCCTCAGTTTCCCTCAGGGCTACAGAAAGTTCACCGAGGCAGTTCCAGAAACTCAGCGGCTCTTCGAGGGCCGTGAGGGGTCCTGGAGCCGGAGGGGCCGGTCCCGCCTGCGGGAGGACGAGCAGATGCCCCTTCCAGCCCGCGGCCCTCCGCTGACCCCCTTGGAGGTGGTGGCAGGAAGATGCAGGCTCAGCTCCGGCTCCAGAAGAGGCTGATCTGCGGCTAGGGAGCAGGAAGGCCCCATCCAGGGAAGCTTCTAGAAAGGAGACTCCGGAAGAGCCATCTGACCCTTGGACCCTGGACAGTTCCTGTCTTCCTGCCCCAAAGAAGGGGGTTTTTGCGAGAAGGTGCTTCTAGCTCTGGGACTTCTAGCTCCGGACTGGGAGGGGGAGCTTGAGGCTCAACCCTGCCCGCGGGAGGGGACTCTGCTCCCCCCCCCCCCCGGCCCTCCCAAGGTGCTCCCCTTCCTCCAGCCTCCCCCTGCCCCCCCCCCCAGGAGGGAAATGCCCAGCGCGGGAAGGGAGGCCCATTGTACTGGGACAATAGGCCCCAAGCCGCCACTTCCGAGCCGGGATAAAAATATTTCCAGGAAAAGAAAATGCAGCCCCCCCCCCCCAAACCTCCCCTCCCAAACCTCCCCCCCTTGGGTTATATTTAGACGGGGCCTCCGCACCCCACTCTCTGCCTCCCGTCTTTTCCAGAAAGGAGCCAAGTTCTCCCAGGCTGGCGGCTAGGACTGGGGCCCGCCCGCCTCCTCCCTGCAAGGATGGAGCAGGGGTGTGTGAGGGGGACACACAGAAGTCCAGGCACTATGGGCAGTGGCTGCCCCCCTGCAATGCCTCCAGAGTCGGGGCGGGCAGTGGGGCGGGAGTTTTCTTTCTAAGACACTCAAGGCCGGAAGTCGAAGGAGGGTGGGCTGGTCTCCTGTGGCTGCCAAGCTGGGGCGCTGGGCAAGACCACCCCAACTTCTGCCCACCTCTGGGAGGCCCTGAGGACCCCATGGGAAGCTGCCTCCTCCTTGCACGCCCTCTGCAGGGTGAGGGGGTCCCACATGCCTGGTTCTGGGACCCAGGTGCCGCTTCCTTTCACGTGTCTGGACTGTGGGGTTCTTCCGTTTTCTGAGATCACACACCCCCACGAGTGTTGGCTGGGGGTCCACCACAGACCCCCCCATCGGCTGTACACCCCCTGCAGCGCCCCGATGTCAGGGGCCGGGAGCTGCCCCACACCAGGGGACCAGGTCGGGGGCCTCAATGCCGCCCGGGGCGTGCATGCACCCCGCGCTCGCTGAGCCCCTGCCCCCAGCTAGGAGCCAGAATATGTCCCTCCCATATGCCCACCCCATCCCCACCTGACAGGCTCAGCTCTGGGCCTCCCAGCCCCCGTGCCAGCCCTCCTGTTCAGCGCCAATGGCCCTTCTTCCAGGAAGCCCTCCAGGACTACCACCCCCTTCTCTACCTCCTTCGCAGCAATGCTCTAGTGTATAAAAGGCCCCCCAAGCATCTGTGTCAGCAAGGGGCATGCCACACCCATGGGGTGTCTCAGGGGAGCCCCGAGTCTGGTCAGGATTTCACCCCAGCCCAGCAACATTCCCGCACCCTGTCCCCAGAAGGAGATAACCTTGGGGTAACAGCACCCCAAATCCAGGACCCGGAGCTGAGCTGAACAGGCCCCCTTGGTCTCCTGGGAACCAGGCCCATGTGCAGGGGGGTGGGGGGAGGGGGAGGAAGGGGACCCCCCCAACGGTCTGGCCTCAGCTCCTACTGATGCTCGGCTGCCCCACCCCTGCCGGCCCAGGCCTGCCCTCGGGGCCCCGGCCTAAGGGACCCCCCAGGAACCTTTCAGAGGCTCATGCAACCCCCCAACACACGTGTGTTCCCACGTCTCAGCCCAGGAGGTCCCCAGAGAAACTGAGGCCCAGCAAGGTCATAGGGCAGGGCGGGGAGTCCAGGCCGGGAGGCCGCTGCCCCCTTTCCCCAACCCGGGGGGCACCTCTGCCAGAGGAGGCGGATCTGCTGCCCCCTAATCACAGGGGGCTGAACCCCCGAGCTCCTGCCGGCCTCTCCCCTCCCGGGGCGCCCCCCCACCCCCCAAGTCTAGACAGCCCGAGGGGGCCGGCACGTGGGCCAGGGGAGTGGGGGCATGCCGGACCCCCAACCAAAGCTCCCCCTCACCCTCCGGAGGCGCCAACGCTTCCTCACCCCACGTGCGCCAGCCCGGGGTGCCCCTCCGTGCCCACCCCCCACGGGCGCCCCAGGCCCCTTCCCGCAACCTCAGCTCACCCCGCGGGCCCAGGAGACCCCGGCTGGAGCCAGGCAACCACCTGGCATGCTGGGATCCCCCCACTCCTGTGCGGAGGCGGGGGGTGGTGCTCGCCCCCACCTGGCTCAGAGAGAAAAGCGAGCACTCTGTGGCCGTCCAGGAGGAACTGAAGGACAGGACAGCAGGGGGGGTGGGAGGAGGGGCCTTGGCCTTGCACGCGGCCGAGCCCGTAGGACCCCCGAGCCTGGCTGGGTGTGACCCCTGTTGAGCACAGAGCCAAAAGGAAGCACAAAAGGAGCATCGCGGGGGTGGCTCAAAAGCAAACAGAGGCGGGGGTGGCACCGCCGGTGAGAGGAGACCCGCCCCCACCCCCAGCCTCTCTGGGCAACGAGGGGAAACTGAGGCCGGAGCAGGCGCGGCTCACCTTCCGCCAGAGCAGCTGCGCCTGCGGGGGCCCGGTGCCCTCGATCTCGTGCCGCTTGCTGTGGAAGAGCGCCACGCCATACTGGGCCTCGTAGAAGCGCAGGAACTCCGTCAGGGTCTTCCTGGTTTTCTCTGAAGGGAGAGAGAGCCGGGCGGTGAGTCACGCTGCCCTGCGGGGAGCTCGGACCCCGGAACCCGTCGGGGGGACCCCCAGGCATGAGCCGCGTGTGGAGGGCAGGGACCCCCCCCACACGGTACTTCAGACCCTCTGGTACCTCCTGAGCACTGTACCGGGAGTTTCAGTAGTGGGGGTGAGCCCCCCCAGAATAAACCACCCAGGAGTGCTAGCAGGGTGTCAGTGGGTGCGCCCCCCCCCCCCCGTGAGGGCAGGAAGCGCATTGGAGCACGGGTCAGACGGGGCATGGGGGAGTCGGGCCCCAGGAATTCCAGCTCTGCCTCTCCCCAGGGTGTGGGTCTGGGTGACGGACACGCGTGACGCCCTCCAACGTGAGAAAACAAACACAGCGTGGAAAATCGACAGGGCGGCTCAGCCTGCTGTGCTCCAGTGGTCTCGGCGGGCTGGGGGGGGAACACCTGACACTCGGGACGGGCCCTGCTGCCAGCTCCCGGGAGGCCCAGCCTGTCCCAGCAGGGGCCTGTGCCCGTCTCTGCCCCTCCCGGGCCTGCGACCCCCCACACCTCTGACCTCCCACCCTCACTGCACCCCCAGGGTTCTGGGGGAGCCAGAGGCATTATCCTTCGTCCGAGAGAGGCTGCGCGACCCCATTACACAGGGACACGGGCGGCTGGGTCCCTGGCACCAGCTCACACTGCCGTGGGCCGCAGGCCGTGGGCAGGAGCACTGGGCAGGAGCACCCGATGTGGGCGCCGCTCCGCCCACCGGTTCCACATGAACAACCAGAACACTCCCCCCCTCCCTCCCCCTCTCTCCCTCTCTCCCCTCCCTCCTTCCCTCTTCCTCTCCCTCTCTCTCTCTCCCTGTCTCTGTCTCTCTGTCTCTCTCTCCCCCTCTCTCTCTCCCACCCTCTTTGTCTCTCAGTGTCTCTCTCTCTCTCCCCCTCTCCCCCCACCCCCGCTTTGGCTCTGCTCGCTCCTGGCTCTGTGCTCAGGGATCATCCTGGCGGGTTTGAGGGACCACAGTACAGATAAATCAGGGAGTTTGGGGGGTCATGCTGGGAATCAAGCCCAAATCCCTGCGTCTCACCGCCTTCCCCAGCCGACACACCCCGGAAGCGGGCAGGGCAGCAGGCACACCCCCAGGAGCCCACCTACAGGTGACAAGCCCCTCCCCAGCTGCATGGCTCTGCCTGAGGGGTGACCAGCACCCTCCCACCTCTGGGGTCCTGCAGCCACTGAGGGGATCAGCCTGGGTCCCACCAAACAGCACTGTGCAGAGCTGGACACAGGACCCTGAAGCCGGCAGGAAGGGCCAGGCAGGAGGCCGGGCAGGGGTGCTGAGGGGTGCCGGGGAGGGGTGCTGGGGGGGGGCAGCCTCAGTGGGGCCGTGAGGAAGAAGCCGGTGCGAGCCGTGTTATCCTGGAGGGCAGAGGGCCAGCAGCAGGGGTGCAGGGGGCTGGGGCAGTGGGGTCAGGGGCAGGAGCAGGGGTGTAGGGCTAGGGGCCAGAAGCAGGGGTGCAGGCCCGGGGAGGGTCTCTGGGGCAGAGAGGGGACAGGCAGCCCGGACTAGGCCGTCGGCCCACCCACCAGGCTCTCCCACCCGAGCCAGAGGCTCAGACCTGCCCTCACAGCCTCCTGGCCCAGGACAGCCCACGGGGGCAGCGCTGCTGGGGAGGACGGCGGGAGGCCCCCCAAGGCCCCCCCTGACGGCATCCTGCTGGGGGCGGGGGGGGAGTGGGGTTCCAGCACCCGGGGACGGGGGCTCTCAGTGTGCCGAGGGGAAGAGGGGGAGCGGGGCTGTGAGCAGGGGGCCCAGCACGCCGGCCTGAGAGATTTCCCGAGAGGGCCGGGAGCGTCCCCTGCAGAAGACCCGGGACCCCCAAAGGCAGAGGGGGTGTGGCCTGGGCAGAGGCAGGTCGGGACAGCCAGGACAGGGGGGCAGGCAGGGGTGGGGGCAGGCGCGTCCCCTAGTGGCTTCTCTAGGCCACAGTCCAGTGCTGACCAGCACTGCCCACCGGGCGCCTGTTCTCTGCTTCCTCCCTCCAGAGTTTCAAGTGCTTCAGGGTAAAGAGGCTTCGGGAGGGGGGACTCCCCACTAGGTGCCCGGGTGTGGGGGAATTCCTCACTAGGTGCCAGGCTGGGGGGAAACTCCCCACTAGGTGCCAGGCTGGGGGGAAACTCCCCACTAGGTGCCTGGGCTGGGGGGGAAAGTCCCCACTAGGTGCCCGGGCTGGGGGGGAACTCCCCACTAGGTGCCCGGGCTGGGGGAAAAACTCCCCACTAGGTGCTAGGCTGGGGGGAAACTCCCCACTAGGTGCCTGAGCTGGGGGAAACTCCCCACTAGGTGCCAGGCTGGGGGGAAACTCCCCACTAGGTGCCTGGGCTGGGGGGGGAACTCCCCACTAGGTGCCCAGGCGGGGGAAAAACCCCACTAGGTGCCCGGGCTGGGGGAAAAACTCCCCACTAGGTGCCAGCCTGGGGAAAAACTCCCCACTAGGTGCCTGGGCTGGGGGGGGAAACTCCCCACTAGGTGCCCGGGTGGGGGAAAAACCCCACTAGGTGCCCGGGCTGGGGGGGAAACTCCCCACTAGGTGCCAGGCTGGGGGAAACTCCCACTAGGTGCCCGGACCGGGGCATGGGGACTCGCCTGAGAGGGGCCGTGCGCTGGAGCCGTGGGGGAGGTTTATGAGAGGTGGCACTTTGATGGCCGGAGGAAAGAGGACCCTAAAGGCCAGAGCAGGGACAGAGTCACAGACACCGACAGGACGAGAACGGGCGGCCGGAGGCAGCGGGGAGGGGCGCTGCCCGCAGGGGGCCAAGGTCACCCCGAGTCCAGTTCCCAGGACCTGTGGGTCCCCGGGCACCACCCTCGGCTCCGCGGACCCATGGGCCCCTGAACCTAACGTCCTGCAGACACGGGGCCCCCCAACTCACAGGCCGGGCCCGGCACCCCCAGACTCTTCAGAACAGCCCCGAAGAGAAGGGCGTACCAGCACCCCCACGTGTTCATACACACACACACACACACACACACACGGACGCACACGCTCACACATGCTCACACACGAACACATACACTCAAACATACACTATCACCCCCCACACACATGCTAACACAGACACGCTCACATTCTCTCACACACACACGTGCTCACACACACATGATCACATACACTCACGCATGTGCCAACTCGCCCACACTCACATGCGCGCGCACACACACACACACACATACACACAAGCACGTCACCCCCTGGAGTGTTTTCCTGTCGCGCCTCCCCACCAGCTGGCGGAGTCGGGGCCTCCACCCTCCACCTCTGCAGCCCCCTGGCCCCCCCACCCCTGGAGCCCCGTCTCTACACTAAAGCCCCTCCACTGCCCTTGAGGGGGCGACCCATAGGCCAAGCCTAACGCCGCCAGGACCCCCCTGTGGTCATGACAGTGCTCAGGAGCCCGATGAGACTATCCCTCTCCCCATTTCACAGATCAGACCACTGAGGCCCCAGGAGACCCGGCACACACTCAGGGCTAGGCCTCCACCTGGCATAACCGCATCCTCCCAGCGCCCCGCTCTGCTTCCGGCCTGCCCCCGGCCATCCCCGCTTCCCAGGAACCCAGGACCCGGGAGGCAAAGGGGCTCTGGCCAGCTCAAGGGCACCTCCGGGCCCTGCCCACCCGCATCCGGCCAGACCTGGCAGGAGCTGCCACGCCCTCTGACCCTTCCATGTCCGGCGTCTCGGGGCCTCAGTTTTCCCACCTGCAAAATGGATGGGTGGGTCCCTGTGGGCTCAGCAAAGATCTAATCGGCGCTGCCCTGGCCCCGGGAGCTGACCACTGCTGGGTCAGCACCGCCGAGCTGCTATGAGTCAGCGGGTGCCAAGCCGCCCCTCTCGGGCGGGCCACCGGGGGCCGCCTGGCACCAGCCCCAGTGCCCTCCCTCCCTGCCCTCTGCTGCCCGGCCATGCGCCCTACAGGGGAGGTCAGTGCCCCCGCCCAGGCCCAGCTGCAGCCCTCCCTGGGCGCAACTCTCACAGGCAGAAAACGCTCGTCTCCGGCCAGCCCGACGGACAACCCCCAGGTCACACTACTTCCTCACAGCCGGGCCGGGCCGCAGGGGGGGCGGGCAGGAAGCATGGGGGCCCCCAGAGCCCCCCAAGTTTCCCAGAGAGACCAGGCCGCTGGGGAAACTGAGGCTCAGTGAGGCGGGGGCGCTGGGGTCCTCCCCGAGCCCAGCAGAGCCTGCAGGTGGAGTGTCTCCCCCACCTCCCTGCAAACCCTCGCCCACCCTGGCAGAATCTTCCAGAATCAGAGCACGGGCCCCGCGGAGACCCTGAGCGCTGACCCGAGTCCGGACCCTCCACGCGACAGCAGGGCTGGGGGCAGCCTCTGCCCGCCGTGGGCCTCCTGTGGGTGCCAGCCTGGGCTTTGGGGGCGCCGTGCCAGCCGGGGCCTGGCCCATCCGGCCCCGCCAATGGGCCCCGGCCACGCCCGCCTCCCACGGGACCCAGTCCCACTCGGCCTGAGCGACCTGCACAGACCGGGTCTCAGGACTGGGAGGGCGGGGCTGGCCCCCAACCTGCCTGCCCGGTTCCCAGGGCCCTGCCAGGCAAGCCAGGCAGCGGGGACGCCCACCCCACGCCCAAGCAGCTCAGGTAGCGAGGGGACAAGCCCCAAGATGAGGATGATGCCGCAGCAACCCCAGGACCACTGTCCTCATCGTCTACCTGGGAGACTGGGCAAGCTGAGGCCCAGAGAGGCGGGAACACCCACCTAGGGTCACACAGCACACCGGCCCTCCAGCAGGCCAGGACCGTCTTTGCTTCTGCGTCACACCCGGCGATGCTCAGGGCTCACTCCCGGTGGTACTGGAAGGACCACAAGGGATGCCGGGAATCGAACCCGGGTCGGCCACGTGCACAGCAAACGCCCTTCCCGCTGTGCTGTCCCTCCCCCGTGAAGATGATTAACACACAACAGCCACATGCTCGGCCCAG